GAATCCCTTCGCTTTTGAGCCAAACCTGTTCTTTACAAAGCACAGAGCTCCAGTGGCATAGCCTGGCCCCCCAGAGAATTGTGGAACCTGCCCTGCCATCTCTCAGGAAAGGAGATGTAAGAACACTCAATGCTCATTTCTCAGTTCCTGAAGCCTGCAACTCTTCCAGCTGGGCCCCTGCAGAGTTGGGGTCTGGGCACTGTTTGCGGGCTCCGAATTGGTATCATTTTGCAAGGTCCCCTCCTGAGGGGCTCCTTGGTGGCCTTTTAAACAAGGGCAGTGACCCTGTCCCCGGGTCTCCTGCAACATTCAGTGCAAATAGGGGCCTTGAGAGCAAGTGGGCGTGGGGAGATAGGGAGTGACAGTGCTGGGGGTCAGACCCTGCCCAGGCTTCACGTCCACTAAGAACAGTTCTCGGTCCTGATCCGATGTCTCTTCCCAGCCTCCAGCTCCAAACAACCACCTGGTCCTTGTCACTGTCACTTCAGCACTTTTAACACCATGCAACTTCCTTGAAGGCAAAAGCCGACGGGAGACATTCCTCAGGCAGAAACACGGTTCATCTGGAGAGAACCGTACCCAGGCCTCAGCGTAAGCTCCTCATTAGTTCTCAGATTTGAAAGAAATGGGTCGGGGCTGGAGCGATAGCACAGCGGGGAGGGCATTTGCCTTGCACACAGATGACCTGGGTTCGATTCCCAGCATCCCATAGGGTCCCCCGAGCCCCGCCAGGAGTAATTCCTGAGTGCAGAGCCAGGAGGAATGCCTGTGAACTGCTGAGTGTGACTCAAAAAGAAAAAAAAAAGAAGAAAGAAATGGGTCAGGCTAGAGAGATAAGTGGCAGGATGAGCCCAGGCTCTGAATGCAGGAGACCCAGGTTCGAACCCCAGCACAGCTCCGGGAGCGTTTCCTGAAGCAACACTGTACATGGAGCTGGAAGGAGCCTATGGCAGGTATAGCCCCCAAATGAAAAACAAAAAAAGAAGGAAATGGGGCATTTTAAATGGAGTCGCCTCATGGAGCCAAGGGAGCTCACACTCATTCATTCATTCATTCTTACTCAGTCTCAGTGATGACTAAGTTGGTGAGTTAAGGCTAAGGGGCCTGGCTCGGTGGCAGAGCACCTGCCTTGCAAGCCTGAGATTGGGGGACCAAGTTCAAGTCCCAGCACTGCCCCCACATGCCCACAGAGCTCAGGGGACACTGAGATCTGGCATCACCACCAGGAGTGCTATGACTCAAGGGACCAATCACCGCCCCAGGGCCAGAAACCCTCCGGAAGTAGAAAAACGGAACGTGCCTCTAAGACAGGAATGGGCATCTCTGGAGAGCAGATGGAAGTCGGAATGTCAGTGCCCTAGTGAGCAGGAGGAAGACTCAAGGTCTCTCGGGATGGGGGGAGGGGTATTAAATATTTCATCAGGCCTCCCAAGGAGAGTCTGTGGGAGCTGTGAAGCCTTGGGAAAATCACACACACACACACACACACACACACACACAAACATGCACTCACAGACACGCACACACACACAGACCCCCTTCATCTGGACTCAAGGAAGCAGGTGGAGTTGGGGGGAAAAGAGGCTGTCCAGGAGAGGGGCCGGGGGCGAGCAGGGGGTGCTGTCCAGGTGCATCCTGAACCCTTCCTTCAGGGACAAAAGATTTTCCCAGAATTCCCCCCTGCTCCTCCCCCACAGCAAACTCCTTGCACCTCATTGGTCAGAAGTGTGCCAGCACCCACCAATCACAGGCAGAGGGCCCTGTGATTGGTTTACACCATCCGGCAAAGACACGCCCCCCCTCAGTAATTTGATCCCAAGTAAAGAATCTGTCCTAAGTCAGGGGCGCCCTCAAGGATGCCCGGGTCCTTCTAAGCACTGGCTCCATGCCCTGCAGAGGTCACTCACCATGAAGCCAGCGGCCCCCACGACCCACCCTCTGGCTGACCCTGGGGCCACCCAGACAGGGGCAGGAGGGTGGATTGCGAGAGGCCCTGGGTGTGTGGGTCACTCGCTGGCTTTACTGGGCCCTGCACGGGGATAGCACCCAGGGCTATGTCAGGGGCTGTGAACAACGTCCTTTATCACTCTCCTGACCTCCAGGGACAAGGGTCACTTCTTCCAGAGAATTCTTTCCCACGCAGCTGCGAGCTGGCTGCACTACTTACTCTCAGCTCACCAGAAACCCACGTCCAAGCTCACGAGAGACGGCTGTGGCCAGCGGCCAGGAATGTCCTATGTCCTCCCCGCAACCCACACCCCACACCGGGCAACGGGGAAAGGCTAGCATGTCCCAGAAACGGGCTCCCCGCAGCCTCGCTCTGGGACTGCCCGGCATTGCTGACTGGCCAAGGCCAGACACCCTTCTTGGGAAATGTGTCTGGACACGCTTCGTCCTCCAGGATCCTGGAAACTAAGGCACAGAGAAGGACAGGGCCCCGGACAGGGTCACACAGGACCCAGAGCACCCGCTACAGCCCTCCTTGCTGCTCCTGCCCAGCTTAAGGTTTGTGCGGCCCCGGGAGTGGCTGTTGTCCGACCTCCAAAGTCTCCCAGCATCAAAGCTCCCAAGTCCGTTGGCTGCAGAGCGGCCAGTGCGGCCAACGGTGCCACCTGGTGGCCACCCTGCCCCCCAGGTCGCGGTTCCCCCAGAGGGTGGGGCGCCCTTTAGGAACTGTGGGTTCCTGTCCCCTGGCAAACCCCTGACCCCAGTGCACGAGGGTCTTCCACATCCAGGTGCAAGGGGAGAAGGCAGGGAAAGGGAGAGGGGCAGGAAGCATGAAACAGGGTGACGCTCTCACACAGATGCCGTGGGACAAAGAACGTAGAAAAACTAAGAAAAAGGAGGGGAAAGACAACTATAACAGAGAGAGAGAGACAGACAGAGACAGAGAGAGACAAAGAGAGACAGAGACACAGAGACAGACAGAAAGAGACAGAGACAGAGAGAGACAAAGACAGAGAGACAGAGACACAGAGAGACAGACAGATTGGCAGAGATGGTGGGGGAGAGCAGAAAAATGGAGGGGAAATAGAAAAAGCATCCACACCCAGTGCAGCCCCGTGGGAAGGGCATGGGCCGGGCACAGCCCCATCCAGCATGCCCCAAACGGGCATCCTGGTTGCAGGTAGCCGCGGTCCCTGGCGCCACCTGCTGGACATACAGAGGATCTCGCGTATCCGCCTTCACAGATGAAGGGGGACTCAGAATCTAAAGCAAAGGCCGTTCTCCTGGTAGCTCGGTGCTACCACAGCCTCCCCCCGTCACTGTCACTGTCACTCCCGTTGTTCATCGATTTGCTCAAGCGGGCCCAATAACATCTCCATTGTGACGCTTGTTACTGTGTTACTGTGTTTGGCATATCAAATACGTCACGGGGAGCTTGCCAGGCTCTGCCGTGCAGGCGAGATTCTCTCGGTAGCTTGCCGGGTTCTCCGAGAGGGGCGGAGGAATCGAACCTGGGTTGACCAGGTCGGCCGTGTGCAAGACAAACACCCTACCCGCTGTGCTATCGCTCCAGCCCATCACAGCCCCCCTGGAATGCCAGCATTCCCCAGCACTCGGGTGGGGAATGAGGGACTGTCCCCAACTCAGGAGAAAGCCCCAGTGGTGAGGTCGCTGGCTCAGATAAGTCATCTGATCCTCCCCCCAGACTCCCTCCCACCCCCCGCTCTCCGTCCCCCACCACGGGTGGTGCTGGGCCTCAAAGGAACCCATCGCAGGCCAGAAGGTTTGTCGTATAAACTGATTTTTAATAATAAAAAAATCTATCATGAAGTCAATGAGAACCTGTACATCTGAAAATAAACCAGTGCGTGCGCCCAGCTCCCGCCCCGGCAAAGGCCGGTTCTCTGTACCCGCGTCACCCGCACCCCCAGGTGGGCACCCACCAACGCAGCCGGGGTGCCAAGCAAGGGGGAAAAGGAGGGTGGCACTCTCACCCCCGCCCCGGGCAGGAAGACCCCCACCACTCACGGCCCCAGCTGGGTCCTTTCCCTGCCAGTGTTCAGCGAAAGCGGAGGGACTGGCTGCAGAGGGAGTCCCCTATGGGACCCTCCACCAAGGTGGCATGGGACACTTCCTGTCTCTCAGGTTGGCTGACCAGTTCCCCAGTGGTGGCACGGAAGTGAATGACAGGCGTGACCCTGGGCTCTCCCTGGCTCCTCCCTGCAGGATGGTCAGCTGGTGGTGGGAGGGGAGGGAGATGGACCCCCAAGCCCTGGCCTGTGACCTCTGACCCCACAGCCTGTCACTCAAAGAGCCAAGACTTCAACATCTCCGACTGCGGGGCTGTGGGTGTCACTCACAGAGGAGGGGGTGTCACTCAATACCAGGCTTGCCCTCCCCTCACAAAACACAAAATACTGACATTTTTAAAATTTCAATAATTTAGGGTTTTTTTTCTTTTTTTTAGTATGTTTGTGAAAGCTTGTCAATACTACCTTATGTTGGTCCTGTTAGACAATATAATTCTTCAAAATTTTAAATGTCAAATATATAATCACACACTCCCCCCCAAAAAAAAAATCTTTGTCAAAGCTGCCGCCGCTGCCACCACCACCCTGGATGCAGGAGTTCCGGGTGACGCCTGGGGAGGCTGCGTCCCGTCAGTAATGTCCACGCCGGGCTCATGCCGGCGACCGCGCCAGGCCAGGGTGTGAGGCCGAGCTGGGGACAGGCGGCCGAGGCCCACAGCTTTCCAGTCCAGCGAGCCGGTTAGTACAGGGTTAGGGGGAGTCTGGAATGTGGAATCAGGAGGAAATCGGGGTTTCCAAAGTGCAGTGGAGCCGTCCTGGGGCGCTGGGTCTGCCGCGGGCTTCGGACGGGAGCCGGGTGCCCGCTGTGTCCATCGGCTCTGTGGCTCCCCAGAGCGGCTCTGAGGTGCCGACCAGGCCCTTCCGCCCGCTCCTGGCTTGTCCTCACGGTGGGCAGCAGACGGGGCTTGCCAGGCCCTGAGCGGGCAGGAGCAGAGGCTGGGCTGGCTCGGAGTAGACGGGGTGCCCACACCCCAGCAGGCCAGCTGGGGTCAGAGGTCTCCATCCACGGGCGGCTGGCAGAGGCGGTAGAGCCTGGCGGGAGGAGGACAGTGAGCCGAACGCAGGCTCTGGGCTTCTCTCACTGGCTGTGTCATCGTGGGCACGTGGGGCGGCCACCGGGGTCACGCCGTCCACTGCCTCCCAGCCCGGCCGGGTAACACGGCGGGCCTGAGGTATGGAGGGGATGAGGCCAGGCAGAGTGGCACCGAGATCCTGCTCCCGGCCAGGCCCAGAGCTGTGTGGCTTCCACAAGGCTCTTTGACCTCTCTGTGCAGCTGGGTTGTCACTGGCGGGACAGGCACGGACCAGGGCAATGCCAGCTAACGGCGGTGCTCCCTCCCGACTCTGACCAGGCCCGACCCCAGGGGCTCGGGGGCGACGGGAACTGGCAGGGGCTCGCAGACACAGTGCTCTCAGGGCGAGGCGGGGGCTGTCCGAGGTGGGAACTCACCGGGGTGCCCCCTGGGGCATCTGGTCCTTGACTCGCAGGTTTTTTGCCAGAATCTCCACCCGGGGGCCCTGGAGGATGGAGGCGTGAGCCTGGCAGCCGAGACACGCGCCCCATGTGCCAGGCCGTCCCCACCGTCCCCCGGTCCCCGCCCGTGCCCACCTGTTTGCGCATGATGTCCGTGGCCTGCATGATACAGCGGGGCAGCAGCCCGTGGCTCCGCGCCAGCACGGCTGCCTGCTCCAGGGAGACGCTGAGGGTGCTCCTGCAGGCACAGGCGTGAGGGCGCGGCCTGGCATGGTGCCCGCGTGCCCTCTCTGGCCTCCCAGCCAACCCCTCCCAGGCTGACCCTGCAGAGCCTGACACCTAACCCCCAACCCCAAACACTGACCCCTGACCCAGAGACCCCAAGTCCTTGACCCCTAACCCCACAGGAGTCTTCCTCAGCCCCTGGCCCCCCAGTCACTGTCCACTACTCTCCGCTGCCTGCTGTGTCCAAGCTTTGTTCTGGGGGGGGGGGGGGGCAGGGGCAGTTCTGGGCCCAGGGGCGCCTAGTCAGCCGCGCCCCTCCCCTGGCTCTGTCGGGCCTCATGGCCACTCACCTCTGCATGCCCGTAGCACACATGACGATCTGGCAGGCGCCCAGGCGGTAGCAGAGCTCCGAGGAGACGGGCACCAGGCCGGCGCCCACGCTGGCCCCCGCGCCCGGCTTGGGGTGGATGAAGACCCGCAGGAGGCGGCAGAGCTCGTCCAGGGCGTTGATGGGGCGGATCAGCTGTGGGCAGACAACGTGTGGCCCCGGGGTTGCTGCGGCCTCCGCACTCCCCACCGCCCCATACGACCTCTCGGCTCTGCCCTGCCTGAGGGACCCCACTCAAAGCACCCCCCACCCCGCTGAGCACCCTCAGCTCCCCCACGCCACCCCTGCCTGCCCCAACCTAGGGGCTTCCCCGACCTCTGCCCGTGGGACAGCCTGCAACTTGGGGCCGGCACCGACTGCCTCACTGCCTGACGTCCCCAAGGGCCTGAGGTCCCCAAGGGCCTGGCCTGGGGGGCAGGGCATCCATCAGAGCCTGGGACCCACACCCAGGAGCCCCCTTCCCTGATCTGCGCCCCCTCCAACCCTCACCTCCCATTCCCCTGCACCAGGACAGTCTCTGTGTAAAACCTTCTGCCTGTCCACAGTAGCCACAATAGACCCAAGTACTCTGTGGCTGGGCTGGCCGGGGCCTCGCTACTGTGGGGGTAGGAGTAGCAGTTCTGCCCTGATGGGTGCAGGGAGCTTGGGCACCCACAGAATTAAGTCCCCGAGAGAATCCCAGGGCCGTGGGAAGAGGCTGGGATCCTGACGGCTGGGACGGAGCACCCAGAAGACTTCCTAGAGGAGGTGACACTGTGCTCGGCCAGGATTCTGCATGCGCCCTGTCCACTGTGTCCTGACCCCCCCAGATCCCCGTGTGCTGGGGACAAACCTGGTCGATCTTCACGGCCGTGGCACTGGCGTCCGTGGGCAGGTTTGACTTTTCCAGGTAGAACGCCCTGAGGGAAGAAAGCTCTGGGGTGAGGGGGGTCTGCCACCCCCCTGACCTCCTGGCCCTGCCCTGCCCCACGGGTTGCGGGTGGCCGCCTGCATACCCGTGGCCCCTCCAGCACCCCCACCCCACTGGCCCAGCCTCCTCCCGATGCCCTCGTGGCTGTGCCTTTGTCCAGCTGCCCCCCAGGCCCCCTCATCACTGCCCCTCTGTCCACCTGCCTCTCCCCAGCAGCTCAGCCAGCACCCAGGCGGCCGGGCCCTTGTCAGGGTGAACGCAGCTGTGTGGGCACCAGACACTGTCTTGTTGGGGTGCACCCAGCACTGATAGGAGGGGGTGCAGGGACACGTGGCCTGGCCGGCTGCAGGGCACAGTCCCCGTGAGGGGGGAGAATGGAAGGGTCCGGTCAGGGCCACTCCGCCAGCACACAATCAGGAAGCAGCTGGGACCCACTCCAGCCTCATTCTCCGGTTTCCGGCAGCAGAGCCGGCCGGGCCGGGGTGCGGCCTCGGAACCCCAGCAGCCGCATTTCCTTCCCAGGGACACTGGGCCCGCTGCCATGCGGTGCTGCTCGGGGCCCAGGGTCACCCCGCCAATGCTTGAGTGCTGGACTTGCAGTCAGGGCCTCTGCGGGTGCAGCACTGCTCACCCTGCGGACTGGCCCGGCTGGGCTCCTCTCTGGGGGACCCCGTGGGGCTCTGTCCTGACTTCTACCTACCTACTCCCAGGTGGTGCAGCCAGTGTGAAGCCCAGGGATGCAGCCCCGGGCAGTGGCAGGGGAGCTACTGCTCTCTGGGCCTCAGTTTCCTCACCTTTAGGTGGGTCTAGGTGTGGGGGGATCAAGGCTGCTGGGTGACACCTCACTTCAACACCCTGCCCCGCTGAGCCCCGCCTGAGCCCCGCCCCCTGAGCCCAGCCCCTGCCAAACGTGCCCCACTCCTGCTAAGCCCCGCCCCAAAGAGCCCTGCCCCTCTAGCCCCGCCTACCCGCTGAGCCCAACCCCCACCAAGCCCCGCCCCAGAGCTCCTCCCCCGCCTAGCCCCACCCCCAAGCCCCTGCTAAGCCCCGCCCACCCGCCGAGCCCCACCTCCGCCAAGTCCCTCCGCAGAGCTCCTCCCCCGCCAAGCCCCGCCCCATGCCTCTGTTAAGCCCCGCCCACCCACTGAGCCCCACCCCCACCAAGCCCCACCCCAGAGCTCCTCCCCCACTGAGCCCCGCCCCCACTGAGCCCCGCCCTCACAGAGCCCCGCCCTCACAGAGCCCCGCCCCCAGAGCATCACCCACCCCCCAAAGACCCACCCGGCTAAGCCCCGGCCCCTTAGCCCTGGGCACACCTGAGCTTGCGGTAATACTGCTGGACCTTCTCCAGGGATTGGGCGTTGATCTCCTGCTGCAAGTCTGCAGCCGACCCCGGGCTGCCTGGAGGCGGCGGCCCCTCCACGTTCTCCAGAGCTGGGAGGAGGCAGAGGCGGGGGTGGCTGGGATCGGGTGCGCCAGGCCACCCCCGAGGAACCTCCCCTGTGCCCGCCCGGGCTCACCTTGGGTGAAGAGCACCGTGTGCATCCGCAGGCTGGCCCCGGCCTCCAGGCGCGAGGGCAGCTTGGAGAAGTGGTAGCTGTCCAGGTGGAGGACGACCCGCAGCGCCTGCCGGCTGCCCTCGACGTGGTAGAAGACGTTGGTGTCTGTGGGTGGACACAGCTCAGCCTCTGTCCCGGCCCACGGGCGGCATCTGGGGACGTCTGTCTGGGTCTCATCGGACGCCTGCCCTCCTCTCCAGAGGGTGACCCCCGGCCCCACCCCGGTGTCTCCTTCAGAGCTCCCCCACACCGCCGAGACCTCTGCCGGCCAAAGTGCCATGGCCCAGGACCTGCGCTTGGTGGCACCACTTACTGGCCACGAAGTTCTCGTCCAGCTGCTTAAAGGAGAAGGTGACATTGTCCAGCTCGGACAGGGTCACCCAGATGTCCTCCAGCATGGTCCGCTCCTCGCTCTGCGGGAAGAAGACGGGGCTGTCTCACCTCCAGGTGCCGTGGCTGAACCACGTCCCGGGCGGGGCTGTCTGGGCTGGGTGGGAAACCGCGTTTGCCCGAGGCTTGTCCTGATTCTCCCAGGCCCAGGCCCACCTGTGCGCTAATGTTCTGGGGAACCTAATTCCTGGACCACCCACCTGGCTAACGACTAACGGCTGTAGCTCAAACCCAACCCGCCTGGATCCAACTCCTGTTCTTCGACCAGCCCAGCAGGCGCCTGTGAGCAACACCGACCAGCAGAGGGCGCAACGGCCCAGTTGCCAGCCGGGCCGGGATGCCCAAGCTAGAGGAAGCAGCTTGGCGAAAACTCCAACTGCCGACTGTCGGGGTGTCGGGTCAGTGCACCTGACCCCAAATGCTGAGGCACTGACTGCCTTCCGGCAGGCGGAGAAAGACCAGATTCTGAGGGGCAGGACTGCCAGGGTGAGAGATTGGGAGGCGGGGCTGGGCAGGCGTTTCTGGGCTGCCCCCAGGTGTGTTAGGGCCTGAGTTCAGGGCAGACAGGCTCCTGCCGAGGGAAGGTGCGAGAGGAGGCTCGGCTGAATCCTTACAGAGCTGCCTCGTGGCGCCGGCACCCTCTGGGCCCTCAAGCGTCTCTCTCAGCCAGGAACTGGGGGGATCTTCCCAGGTTCAGCAAGCCTGTGCGTCACCCCCCCCCCCCCCCCGCCCACTCTCCTGCAGTTCAATCAGCTGACCCGCCCCAGGCCTTTGCACCTACTTTTTCGCTCCCTCCTTGGTTCCTGGGGCCACCTTAGCTTCACCCGGCCGCCTTCCTGGCGTCCACCCAGACCCACCCGTGCCCTGCCCTTGTCCTGAGCCTCGGCAGGTGCTGTGGGTGGCGCCCCACCCCGCCCGATGAACGTCAGAGACACTGGACATGTCTCCAGGTGTCCCCAAGGCCCGGGACCAGCCCAGTGAGAACCACTGCTCCAGGCCACTTTTTTTTTTTGCTTTTTGGGTCACACCCGGCGATTCTCAGGGGTTCCTCCTGGCTCTGTGCACTCAGGAATTGCTCCTGGTGATGCTCGGGGGACCCTATGGGATGCCGGGAATTGAACCCTGGCTGGCTTCGTGCAAGGCAAACGCCCTCCCCGCTGTGCTATCACTCCAGCCCTCTCCAGGCCATTTCTTATGCTTGCTTAAGCCCTTCTGCCTCCCCAGCACACCCGGAATCAGCCACACACTCACACACACGCACGCAGGCACACACACATGTACACACACATTGCCACCTGTATTCTCAGAGTCTCTCACAAACATAGGACCCCACACTCTCACACTTACCTGCACTCAGTGTCACTCACACATTTATCTGCACTCACACTCAACTCTGCACACCCACTTACACTCTCACACATCCACACTGTCACATACACACACATACACATACACTCTCACAGACTCACACCCACATACTGCATCTCACTCTATACTCACACACATCCACACACTCACATACACGCTCACACTCCTACACACACACTGACACACATACATGCACTCTCACACACATCCACTCTCATATACTCAGTCTCACACACACTATCTCACATCCATATTCACACACATGCACACACATCCACGCACACACCCACACTCACAATCACACTCACGTGTACACAATCTACATTCTCACATACGCTCACACACACTCACATAACACTCTCACACATACAGTCACATACTCACTCATACATTACACTCACATCCACACACATCCTCACACACACCCCCACACTCACAATCACACTCACACACATACACAACCCACTTTCTCACATAATTCACAAATACACACACTCACACAACACTCTCGCACATACACACTGTCACATACACAGACACTCATACTCACACACATTACACTCACACACACACACACACACACACACACGCCAGACCCCGGGACAGTTTCCGGCCGACTCAGTGACTGACGAGGGGCCCCTCCCCGCCCGCCCTCACCACGGCGGCTGGCGACAGCAGGGACTGGCAGTGCAGCAGGACGCCGGTGGCCGCCACCTGCTCCAGCCACTTGCGGCTGGCGTCGCGGCTGCTCTCCCCGTACTCGCCGTTGTTGTTGTAGCGGTAGCTGAGCGCGGCCAGCAGCTGCTCGGACACGGCGCACACGGCGGCCACCAGCGCCTGGCAGAAGATGCTGTCCCTCCGCAGCTGCAGCTCCGTGTCTGCCGGACAGAGGCTGCTGGGGCGGCTCTGGGGGCAGCCCGGCGCCCCCCCAGGCCAACCCCACCGACCGCCACGAGCATCGGCCCCGAGCACTGAATCTGGGGCTCGCTTGGCCAGGTACCCCCGGAGTGGCGCCTGGGCCCCTGGGACTAGCCTGGGTGCTCCCCGGCTTCCCACAACAAACTCCTCATGGGACTCTGCTAACGATTTTGGCCCTGACCCCTGCCCTGATCTGGCCTCTGGGTCACCCGGGGCCCTGCTGGGACACGTCTAGAGCCAGGCTCTCGCCTGCCACCTCTCAGGGGCCAGCTCTGGTTCCGATCCGGCTTTGGGAGGTGCTCAGGGCAGAGAGCACTCCCGGGGCCTGCTGCCCCACCACCTCCCGCCCTTCCTCTCCCCCACCCCATCTGTGGGCAGAGAGTCCCGGGAGGTGGGGCAAGGGGGGAGGTGGGGATGGGGGGGAGGGGCTGAGGGTTCTGTGGGCAGCCCAGGCGGGGCGGGGGGGGGGGGGGCAGTCTCACCTGTACACTTGAGCAGGGCCAGGAGTAGCTGGTTCTTCCCGTCTGGAAGGAGAGGAGAAGAGGGGCGTGGCGGGCTAAGGGGTCAGCAGGTCTCAGCCGGGAACAGGGCACCGGCTGTCCTCAGGGGCCCCTCGGGGCGCGGGCAGGGAGCCGCATCCCACAGCGCGGACGCGGCCCCCACGTTCCCCCTCTGGCCTCACCCTCCACGTATCTCTGGATGTTGTCCACCAGGGTCCCGATGGAGTTGGGCAGGTTCCAGGGGTCCTCCTGGATGCTGATCTGAATCAAGCTACGGCCGCGCAGGGTGCACTCCTCCTTCTGCTTGAACTCTGGGGCAGGACAGAGACGTGAGGACCAGTGGCAGCTCTGGAGAGCAGAGCACTGGCCCCCTTCCTCGAGACCACTGAGTCCTGGGCGCAGGAAGAGGCAGGGACCACCCCAGGCAGCACTGATCGATCTCTGAGCCTCCACCCTCAGGGTGCAGCCACCCAGCACAGGCATCCAGTCGAGCAGACACTGGCTTCTCCTGAGCCTGGACAGTCTCTGAAGGAGCCTCAGATTGTCTCCTCAAGCCCTGACCAGCGGAGCTGGCACTGAGTTACGAGCTAGTCTAGGTGGACAGATGGGTGGGAAAGTGGCTGGGTAAGTGGAAGGGGACTGGCTGTCTGGACAGATGGGGGCTCAATGGGTGGGTGGGTGAGTGGATGGGTGGATGGGTGGATGAATGGGTAGATGGATGGATGGTGGGTGGATGGATGGATGGATGAGTGGATGGGTAGATGGATGGATGGGTCGGTAGATGGATGGGTGAGTGGGTAGATGGGTGGATGGGTGGGTGGGTGGATGGATGGATGGATGGATGGATGGATGGATGGATGGATGGATGGGCAGATGGATGGATGGGCAGATGGATGGATGAGTGGATGGATGGATGGATGGATGGATGGATGGATGGATGGATGGATAGATGGGTGGGTGGGTGGGTGGATGGATGGATGGATGGATGGATGGATGGATGGATGGATGGGTGAATGGATAAGTGGATGGGTAGGTAGATGGGTGGGTGGGCGGGTGGGTGGATGGATGGATGGGTGGATGGATGGGTGGGTGGGTAGATGGATGAGTGGATGGGTGGGTGGATGGGTGAGTGGGTGGGTGGGTGGATGGATGGATGGGTGGACGGGTGGATGGATGGGTGGGTGGGTGGATGGATGAGTGGATGGGTAGGTAGATGGGTGGGTGGATGGGTGGGTGGGTGGATGGATGAGTGGATGGGTGGGTGGATGGGTGAGTGGGTGGATGGGTGAGTGGGTGGGTGGGTGGATGGATGGATGGGTGGATGGGTGGATGGATGGGTGGATGGATGGATGGATGGGTGGATGGATGGGTGGGTGGGTGGATGGATGAGTGGATGGGTGGGTGGATGGGTGAGTGGGTGGGTGGATGGATGGATGGATGGATGGATGGATGGGTGGATGGATGGGTGGATGGATGGGTGGGTGGGTGGATGGATGAGTGGATGGGTAGGTAGATGGGTGGGTGGATAGGTGGGTGGATGGGTGGGTGGGTGGGTGGGTAGATGGATGGGTGGATGGATGGGTGGATGGATGGGTGGGTGGGTGGATGGATGAGTGGATGGGTGGATAGATGGGTGGGTGGGTGGATGGGTGAGTGGGTGGGTGGATGGATGGATGGATGGATGGATGGATGGATGGGTGGATGGATGGGTGGATGGATGGGTGGGTGGGTGGATGGATGAGTGGATGGGTAGGTGGGTGGGTGGGTGGGTGGGTGGATGGATGGATGGATGGGTGGATGGATGGATGGGTGGGTGGATGGATGAGTGGATGGGTAGGTGGGTGGGTGGGTGGGTGGGTGGATGGATGGATGGATGGGTGGATGGATGGATGGGTGGGTGGATGGATGAGTGGATGGGTAGGTAGATGGGTGGGTGGATGGGTGGATGGGTGGGTGGGTGGGTGGGTGGATGGATGGATGGATGGATGGATGGATGGGTGGATGGATGGGTGGATGGATGGGTGGGTGGGTGGATGGATGAGTGGATGGGTAGGTAGATGGGTGGGTGGATGGGTGGATGGATGGGTGGGTAGATGAATGGGGGATGGGGTGGATGGATGGGGTGGATGAATGATTGGATAGGTGGGAGGATGGTTGGGTGGACAGGTAAATGAAAGGATGGGTAAACAGGTGAGTGAGTGCGTGAATGGGTGTGCAGCTAGGTGGCTGGCTGAGTGGGTAAGTGGGTGGATGATGGGGTGAGTGAATAAGAGAAAAAAATAGGCAGAAAGACACAAGAAATGTCCATTTTTCTTCCCCATCATTTCAAGAAGAAAATCTAAAACGTTTTTTCACCATGTGCCAGGGATCAAACCCCAGGCAGGCACCACATATGACACCCTACCCCATCACTCCCAACATGAGTGTGGAGCCAGGACTCAGCCCTGAGCACGCTGTGGCCCAAACGCTCCCCGCAAATAAATAAAAGCGAAAAGCTCCCTTCCCAGCTCGAGCGAGGTCTGGACCAAGGCCGGCACTTGGCGTCTGGCCTGCGGGCGGACAGCAGTGGGCAGGGAGGGCTTCTGGGAGACTGGCAGGAGTGTCCCCCACCCAGTGTGTCCCCCACCCCGGCACATCCCACCTACCCTTGCCTGCGTCAGGGCCCCCGCCCCTCCCGTGTCCCCGCTGCCCACCCCTGGCTCACCCTGCAGACTGTGCTCCATGGGGAAGTGCCTGGTCTCCTCGAAGGCCCTGCTCATGACCGGGCCCTTGAGCAGCGCATGGATGGCATCCACCTGGGCACAGGGCGGGGGTCAGTCAGGCTGGCCCTGGGGGCCCCGGGCACAGGCCCTGTCCCAGACCCGGCTCCCCTTCCCCAGCCCACCTGGTTAAACAGATGCTCCAGGCAGCCGTGCAGCTTGTCCTGCTTGTCCGACGGGATCCGCATGTCACATGGCAGCTCGTCCCCTGGGGGGAGGGGGGCAGACACTGTCACCCACCCAGTTTCCCCTCCGCCCTTCCCACACATTCCTGCCGGACGAGCCCCACAGCCCCCGGGGAGCTGGGCCGACAGACTCGCCCTGGCTGTGCATCCCCAGGAAAGTGGCCCAACCTCTCTAAGCGGCCTCCGGACCCTCCCGCTCCCGTCCCTGCTGACACAGCAGCACCGGGCCAAGCCTCCTCAGGACACAATGCCCCCAAGGCCGCCACTTACCCTGGTCTGTTCAGTCAGGGCAGAGCCCCGTGTCCAGTGGGAAGGGCAGTGAGACAGCAGGGGGCTATGGGGGACTGGCAGGGGAGGGGCCTGTCGCGGTCACCGTGCCGTGGGGGTTGTGACCCTCGTCACGCAGGTGGGGATGTCAGGTGTCTGAGGGAGCGTCCATGTCTGTCTGTCCATCCACCCACCCGTCAGGCATCTGTGTATCCAGCTATCCTGTCTGTCTGTCTGTCACAGCCCTCCACCTTCCTGCCTGCCAGGCGGTGAGCCTGGGCATGGGGGAGGGTCCTCTGTTCACCTCCCACAGAACTCTCTGGAACAGTTCAGTGCCCCTAGATGTGGTGCCTGAGCACATGTCACATGTCACTGAGCCGGGAACCACTGGGCCACCCTGCCCAGGGCCACTGCAGCACCCAGTGCCCCTAATTACTGCCCCCTGGGGCTGTGGTTTGGGGCCATGCTGGCAGTGCTCAGGGCTGACTCCGGGCTTTGTGCTCAGGGCTGACGTCTGGGAACTCCACAGGGCCTCCAGGGTGGGTCCCCTGCAAGGCACCGGCACCATCACACTAGCCTGTACTTAAGAGTCGTTTTCTCTCCGTGGGGGGACAGGCAGGTGTCCGCAGTGCTCAGGGCCACCCGGGCCACCAGGCAGTGCCGGGGAGTGAACATGGTTATTCGGATATCTGGCCTCACAAAGCCCGTGGCCCCTCACGTCCTGCGACCTTTCTCTGTCACAGAGGACACGGGCCTGGACTGGCCGCGGATGGGTCACACCTGACGAGGGCCCGTGGGAGGAAGGGATCAGCCACACCCGACCCAAGGGAGGAGAGATGGATGGACGGACGGAAGGACGGACGGATGGAGAGCCCACCCCGAGACACCCAGTGGGGGCCCAGGACTCACCAGAGCCCATCTCGTCGCTGCCCAGGTACGAGCTGTTGCTCCTCACGCTGGTGTAGGACAGCACCGAGTCCCGGTTACTGTTGCACTCGCTGTGGGGAGGTGGGGAGGGGACGATGGCCCGGGTCACACTCCCCCCGAGCCACACTCATGCACCCCCACACACCTCCCCCAGGCCACACCTCTCCCCAGGCCACACCCCTGCAGGTCACACACTCCCCTGGGGTCACACTCCCCCCCCATCACACCTCTCCCCAGGTCACCCTCCCCCTGGGTCATACTCCCCCTGAGTCACAATGCCCTGGGTCACACCTCCCCCACGGGTTACACACTCCCGCCCAGTGCCAGGATTACACACTCCTGCCCAGTCCCCAGAATCCCATTTCTGCCGTATAGACAGAGTGCCGGGCAGCCTAGCCTGCGGGATCTAGGGCTGCTGGGGGGACACCCCCCCCAAAGGCCCAGCTCAGAAGCAGAAGTAGGAGGGGAGGGGTGGCTCTGACACCCGGCCTGCTGTCCCGGCACCTGCACCCCACCTGGCCACTTTCTCCACTGCTCCCCGGACTGGTCGGGACCCCCACATCCGGGCTGGACCTAGCCCAGGCGCTCGGGTGGTGTGGACAGTCCCCAGCCACGACCCTGGGTGTGGCCGTCCTGCCTCTCGTCATGGGGATAAGGGGAGGCAGAGGTCCAGGCACTCGGGGACGCGGAAAGGTCAGTCCCCACGCCTGCCCCAGCATGCCTAGCACACCAGGAGCCGCTGAGCTGACGTGAACTGGGCAGGGGCTGAGGCACCACATTCCCCACGGGGGTTGGGCACACAGGCAGCCCCGGCGACAGGGCAAGCCAGCTTCACCTCTGACCCCGCGAGGGAGGACTCGCCATGAACCCCACGGGCCTCGGGAGGAAAACACGCGGCTTTCTCCGGCTGCCAGGGGTCACGCGTCACGCAGGACGAGACCCATCTCTCCCGTGGCCGCCCAGTGTCCCAGGAAGTGCCCCAGGTGGGACGGTGACCCCGGCCCACCTGTAGGAGTCACGGTAGCTCATGGTGTCGTGGCCCGAGTCCTCCTGGTCCTCCTCGGACACCTTGAAGCACACCTTCTTGCTACCGCCCTGCTCACTCCGGTCCGTCTCACTCTCCTCGCCGGCCAGCGGAGGGGACGAGGCCTCCTCCGCCGAGGGCGGGTCGCAGGACCCCACTGACGTGGGCTCCGTGATGGTGGACAGCAGCCTGCGGGGGCACAGACAGGAAGGTCAGTGGGGACCCCTGGCCGACCTCAGGCCTGGGCCCGGGGACCTGGGGTCCCTTCTCTGAAACGTGCACTGCACGATCCCGCCTGTAGGGGGCGCGAGAGAGGATCTGCTACTGGGGCATGGGGTAAGGGGTGGTTGAGAGTGGGTTCTTATAAAACATCACATACGACATCACTGCAGCCACAGTGACCACTCAGCCCAAACACAGACAATAGGGAAAACTGGGTGCCAATAAAACCTTAACACACACGCACACACACAAAAAAAATTTTTTAAAAATACCTTAACACACAACACACACAAGATACACACATGCTCATACAGAAACACACAGGCTCACACACAGACACACATGCTCATACGCACACTCACATACACAGACAGGCTCACACAAACATATACAGATGCACACACAGACACAGATACACACCACAGCACACATTCAATACATGCACACAGTCACACACACTCAACACACGTAGACACACACAAACACGCACACAGAGACATAGACACAGACATAGTTACAGACACACACACACACACACACACGCAGGCAAGGGACTGGATCTGGGCCCTGACCACACCTTGTCCACCCCAGGCTCTAGGGACGGAGAACGGTCCCAGCAGGGGTCCCGCTGATCCTGGGGCTGAGAGAGAGCAGCAGGAGGGCGCTTGCCTTGCACACAGCACCCCATATGGTCCCTAGGTCCCTCCAGGAGTGATCCCTGAGCACCGCTGGGTGTGACCCCAGACCACAAAAAAAGGAGCGCAAATCACAGGATGTCTGGGTTTCCCAGCACAGGTGAATGCCGCGTTTCCGTGTTTGTACTCACACATTCAGACACACACTCACACACACAAAGAGAGACAGGCACACACATATACACAGACACACACACAGAGAGTCACACACAGACATATACACAGACACATACAAACACACACAGACAAACACAGACACAGACACATATACAAGACACACACAAACACAGACACAGACATATACACAGGCACACAGACATACACACAGACGTAGACAAATACGCAGACACACACAGGCACATGCAGACATATATACAGACATACACAGAGACACAGACACACACAGACATGCACAAAGACACACATACACACACACACAAATACAGACACAGACAGACATATACACAGACACACACAGACATACACACTCACCCACAGACACCCACAGAGACACAGACGCGCACGCACACACTCGCACACCCCCTGGCCAGGCTCACCTGTTGATCTGGCTCACGTACTGCTTCATCTCCTTCAGGGCCACGTCCAGCCTGGTGAAGAGCTGCTGGTAGGCGTCCTGGATCTCGCGGTCCTCCTGCGTGAGGAGCGAGTGCAGCCCCCGCTCCCGCGGCCCGGGGCCTCCGCCGCTGCCGGGGCAGCCCTGGCACGGCACGTCCCCCTCCGCAGCAGCCAGGCACTTCCACGAAGGGGCGGCCATGGTGGTGATGCAGTGCTGGGTGTAGGACATGGGGTTCAGGTGGCCTGCGGGGGAGGGAGAGAGCACTGGGAAGCAGCTCCCAGACGGGCCCCTGGATAGCCGTGTCCGGGACGCCAGGAAGTGAGGACCGTTCCCCGTGAAGCAGTCTCTCAATGTGCCCTAACGCCAGACAACTAGAAGATCCAGTTTGGTGCATGTTAAACTTCTATGGATTCTGTTCACACCCTGAGAGCAGGCGTGATGGCCGGCACGCCAGCAGCCTTTCTGCACCATGAGGCAATACGCCAGGGAGGAGCCATGTCTAGAGAGGGGGACACAGAGAGCAGGGGCCCTGCCCGCTGACCTCCCGCCTCTGTGGTGTGTGACCCAAACACAGCTGGCACGGACACACATGCAGCTACCTTGCTCTGGGTCGAGACCGATGAGGGAGGGTTTGCGTCCAAAGCGGATGCTGAAGGACCTGCCGATGGAGGGGGTGGTCTTGGGGTAGGAGACTTCCATGAGGTTGATGTGGCAGTTGGTGGGGCAGAAGTCCAGGCCGCAGAGCGGGTGGGGCTCCGGGGGGGCCTGCTTGAAGGGAGGGCTGACCCGGCTCTTCAGCTGAGCTGCAAACTGAGAAAGGGGGTGGGGGGGACAAGGGGGTCACGGTGCAGGTTCTGGACCCTGGATGTGCGCCCAGGAGGTCCCTGCGAGGCCTCTGGTAGACTCTGCGCTTCCAGGAAAGTGAAACGGGGGGTCTGCGGGCCCTGGACCCACCATGTTCACTCTGCATTCCAGCCGCGTGCCCTCTGGGAACTGCCCCCATCTCTGGAGGCGCTAGGGCAGGGCTGGCCAAGGTACCCAAACCAGCAGGAACTGCTCCGGTTCCTTTACCGCTGTGGTCACTCAGCCGAGAGCCACTGGGGGTCACTCTGGCAGCCCACGAGAAGGGCCCGCCGGGGAGTGAGACCCCCCCAGGGCGGAATCAGGGAGAACGGCCACACTCCTCCCACAAGCACTGTGCAACCGAGCGCCTGGATACAGCCCTGCCTGAAGCTCGCCTTCTGGACTGTCAGCACCACAGACCAAAGTCCCTTCTCCCACCCCCTTTTATGCGGATCAGGGCTGGGTTCGGCCCGTGGGGCGCGGTACCTCCTGGTAGCGGGCGATCCTCTGGCCGATGCTCTCCAGCTTGGCGTCGCAGATGCTGCGGAACTCGAAGTGCGACATCGTTTTCATGCTGTTGCTCAGGGCCATGAGGCGCCCGCAGTTCTGCACGAAGACGCTGTCCTCGGCGGCGAAGGCTTCGAGCACCTGCAGGGATGGAACAGCCGCTGGGCACAAACTCTCCCACCGGGGCTCCCGGTGCTTCCGCGAGGCATGTCTATGGCTCAGGGCGCAGACGCGGGGGCTCATGGCTCCCCCTCCTGACTGGGATCCATCCAGGAGTCCAGGTTGAGTCCCTGCCACCCCATCCCCCGCCCCCCGGCCACTGCCCACCCGGGGCGAGACCTTGGCGGTGAGGCCGAAGCAGCCGCGCGGCTCCACGACCTTCTCCAGCACGTGGCTCTTGACTCCTGCCGTGCTCACGTACTCGTACACCACGCCGTGCTCCAGGTGCCCGTTGTCCACCGTCAGGCTGACTGTGGGGCTGTCCTCCTGCAGGCTCAGCTGGGGGCCCAGGGACAGCAGCGGGGAGGCTGCAAGCCAAAGGGAAGAGAGACGACCGTGAGAGCGGGGACCCAGGACCACGGTTCCTGGGTCGCAGGAAGAGCCGGCACTGTGACCCATGAGAGGTGAGCCGAGCCTGAGGACTCGGTCCCCCACACAGGAGAGGTGACATTCTCACGAAGGAAACGTCATTGCAGGGGGGAGCAGTGCTGAGAATGGCCAGGTGACATGCGGACAGGAGCCCACGGCAGACAGAGGCCCTGGATCAAGGGGTTACTCCTGGCACATGCACTCAGGAATTACTCCTGGCGGTGCTCGGGGGACCATAGAGGATGGTAGGAATCGAACCCGGGTCGGCCGCATGCAAGGCAAACGCCCTCCTTGCTGTGTTATCACTCCAGCCCCATGAGAGCACATTTTCATGTGGCCCCGTTTCAGTCTTGATAAACACAGGCCCAGAGGACCCGCCAGGAACTGTGAAGGAAGTGACGTCCTCCTTGTTCTGCTCCAAGGAGACCCGCATTCAGTGCTCAGTATCTCTGTGCTCCGTTCTCCGGCTTGCCCTGTGCTCCTGTGTTCACGTCTGCACCCGGGCCCCAGCACACGCGAACAGCCTTGACCGGATGGACAGTCGCCACCACCCACCTCTCTTGGGTGTCGGGCTGCCCGCATCATCAGGGTCACCCCCAGGATTAGGGAAGGAGCGGACACTCTGCCTGTCGCCCTCGGACTGCACAACCCCACCGAGACCACCCCGGGCCTGGCTGTGCGGGTCTCAGCAGTGGGGGGCTGGTGCCCGACAGCCTCATCACACGGTTTGAGAAAAGCCCAGCGCTGCCCGAGAGAGGCCGTGCAGGCCACGCTTCTCACAACCTCTGCCTGCCGCTGCCCCACTGAGCACAGGGGCGGGAGGGGCACTTCTCTGAGCCACAAGTGCTCACAGAGCACCTGGGAGCAGCTGACGTCAGCGCCAAGCTGCAGACGCTGAAATCCCAACTGGCACTTGGAGGAGGAGAGGCCCAAGGGCACTCAGTGGCCGCTCTGAGGTGGGTCACTGAGCAGGGCCGAGTGAGGAGGGGAGCAGGAAGGGAGGCTGGTGGGGTACGGGGGAGTCTACTGGCTAGGGGAACAGCAGGGGCAAAGGCCCTGGGGCAGGGAGACATTGAGAGCAAGAGGCTGTTGCAGAGGGGAGTGGGCCAGGCGGGGCCTCGTTGAGGGTGGTGTGTGGTGTGGTGACCCCGGAAGGTGGGAGGCTGCAGATGCAGAGGCAGGGTGAAGGGGTGGAGATGGGGGGGAGGGGCTGGGGGCCTGCAGGGGAGGGGGCTTGGGAGCACAGGCTCAAGGCTCTGCAGGAGAAGAGCTGGGCACAGGCTCAAGAGCTCTGCAGGAGAAGAGCAGAGGGTCGGGGTCGGGGGCACTGGTGGCCAGGCCGGCCACAGTGAGCACGGAGTCCACTGAGGCCAGGCAAGCCCGAAGACGGGCCTGCAGTGGCCGGGCTGGGCGCTGGTGGGGACAGGGACCAGGGACTCCCGGCGGCGCCCCCAGGCGGGAATGTGGGTCACTGCGGGGTGGAATCGTGGTGGGGGCTAGGAAGGCCAGGCCAGGTGGAGCAGGGGGCGGAGCGGGGGGCGGAGAGGGGGCGGGGCGGGGTGGATAGGGGCGTGGCTGGGGCGGGGCGGGGCGGGGCGGGGCAGAAGCTGGTAGGGGCCGGGGCCAGCAGGGGCTGGGACCCGCCTGGGAGACGCAGGAGGCCCCGCCCTGGGAGACACAGGAGGCCCCGGCCTGGCCTTGCATCCGGGACAGGGTGGGTGGGGGTGGGCAGGCCCACGGACCCTCCGGCCGCCCCTTACCTGCATCGGGCGGGTCCTGCTCCTGGGGCTCCTCGCCCTGTGGCTCCTCATGGCTGGCTCGGGCCTCCTGTAGGTCCTCGTGGGTGTGGTAGACCCACTGGTACAGGCCCTGTGAGGAGAGGGCAGGTCAGGCCTCACACACACGTCCAGCACCCCCCGCCGGGGCCCGGTGCCTGTGTGGGTGACACCACTGCAGGGGAGGCCGCCGAGATTTCGCTCCGGGATCATCCTGGGTGCTTCAGGTCATACATGGCTCTGAGCTCTACACTCTCATGTGGAAATAGGGGCGTCAAACCCCCACTCTCCGCCCCGTGGGTGTGTGTGTGGGGGGGGGGGGACAGAGCCTGCCTTGTCTGCATCTCCAGGGTCCGGAAACGCGCTCAGCAACACCTTTCCTGAAGGGCCCGCAGAGGCAAAGGGGAAGCCCAGTGTAGTGTCCACTGCGGCCCATCAGTGACCCCCCACGTGCGGAATAAAGAGGGTCCCACACACCCACCACGGAGGAAACGGAGGCTGGTGGGCAGCCTGGGGTGGGCAGGGGGCCAGGCCTGACCCCATCCCCAGCAGGGTCCCCGGCAGTGAGGGGCTCACCAGGGCGTCTTCCCGGTGGCTCCGGAACGCCTGGAAGTGCTCCAGGACCTCGGAGGCGCTGCCGCTCGCCACGCTGCTGCCGCTGACCTTTAGGACACACTGGCCGGCACAGAGCCCCGCGGCGGCCGCCTCTGAGCCTGCGGGAATGGGTGGGGGGGTGAGGGCAAACACCCGCAACAGCCCCGTCAGAGCCACATGCTTCCCAGTCCTGGAAACCCCATCACTGGGGGCCGGCGGCGCCCCTCCAAGGGACACAGCACACAGCACGACTCGGGCCCTGTAGCCCTGGGCTTGTCCTCCCGGCTCCGTCCCGGTCCCCAAAGCACAGGATGGAGCAGGAAGGCAGACACGCGTGTTCACAGGGCATGCGGGGGGGACTCAGGCCGGCTCTGCACAGGCCAGTGTGACCTCGGGCAGTTCCGTCCCCCTCTGGGCCTCGGCGGCTGCTCTGCACTGTGGGGACAGCAGTGTCCTCTCGCCAGGGCTCTGAGCTCGGGCCCTCATGGCACACCCAGTCATGACGCCGCTGGACACCTGGGTGGCCTCGGCCCAACAGCTCGCCTGCACGTGCCCACCGGGCACTATGGGGCCTTTACTAGTCAGAGAGAGACCCCGCGGCCCCCGCCTGCCCGGCACGACACCCTCAGTGTCTGCTGACTGGCTCTGGGCTCTCCAGCTGTGAGTCACAGCTCCGAGGAAGGTCCCTGACACCCTCTCACTCATCAGCAGCCCTGCGGGCACGTCTATCCCCCGGCGACAGCTTCTGAACACGCAGCCCACCAGGAGTGCGGCCCCGAACATCATCAGATAAGAACAAACAACAAGGACCAGTCTGGGGCCGAAGCGTAAGAAGGCGGGACTGCAAGCCGGCCTCGCTCCTGACAGATTCGGCTTAAGCATGATCCCCGGGCTGGCCGGGCCGCAGAAACGGCTCACAGCCCCCATTCTGAGGCCAGAGTGATAGCACAGCGGATAGGGTGTTTGCCTTGCACGCGGCCGACCCAGGTTCGATTCCCAGCATCCCATATGGTCCCCCAAGCATCGCCAGGAGTAATTCTTGAGTGCAGAGCCAGGAGGAACCCCTGAGCATGGCTGGGTGTGACCCCCCCAAGACAAACAAACAAAAAACAAACCACAGTCCTAATTCCTGCCCGAGCCGGACCTAGAGTGGCCGGGGCCACAGGCCACGGGCAGCTGCCCTGGCAGCAAGGACACGCAGCCACATCCCCACATCCTCGCCCACCACTCCCTGTCGCCTTCCTCCGGACCCCCAGGGGAGTGTGTGTTGTAATGGCGAGGGAGGGCTTGACCGGCCCGACAGTGACCACAGACCGGCCCGCACCCCCCCAGCCCCCACCCCCCCTTGCCTCCTCGGGGGTTCCGCTCACCTCGGCCCACGGCGTAGACATAGGGGGGCGCAGCACCACGGATCTGGAAGCACAGGGAGTCGGGGCGGTCCGGGACCTTGATGACCCTGCACCGGGCAAAAGTGGACGGTCGGGAGACGCCTTCTGGGTGCTGGGGCGGGGGCAGCCTGGCCATGCCGGGAGATGGCACCCGGGGCTGGGCCTCGGGGGCTCCCAACTGCGGCCCCTTCCTGCCCTCGGTGCCGAGTCAAAGCAGGTTTTCCTGCCCTCATGGCTCGGGGGGCACGAGGGACCCCCTGGCCTGCTGCTCGCCAGGGTGTGTCCTGCAGAGGCCGGTCTGGACACGGGGTCCTGCAGCCGGCTGAAGGTGGCCCTGCCCAGCATCACAGTCACAGGCGTCCATCGGGGGCTTCCCTCTGGCCCGCCTGGGGGTCCTGCTGGTCCTTCCCCTTGTCTCACCCCCGCCCCCCCCCGCCCCGTCCCATGGCACACCCACCCCTCCCCCGTGCAGCAGGGACGTGCCACTAAGAAGGAAGGGGCAGAGGGGCTGGAGTGATAGTACAGTGGGTAGGGCATTTGCCTTGCATGGGGCCGATCCAGATTCGATTCCCAGCACCCCACAGGGTCCCCTGAGCACCACCAGGATTAATTCCGGAGTGCATGAGCCAGGAGTAACTCCTGAGCATCGCCGGGTGTAACCCAAAAACGCGAAAAAAAAAAAAAAAAGGAAGGAGCGGAAACCAAGTGCGACAGGATGAGGTTCACCTGCGCCTCCCTCGGGGACCAGCCCCTGCTCCTCACGGGGTAGGCCAGCCTCTGCCCAGACCTCCCTGCAGCCAGAGGGAACCTTCCAGAACCCGTGCAGGCCACGCCTGCCCTGGGTCAGGGTCGTCCCGGGCTTCCCCCTCTGCCCCTCAGGGCCTGGCGGGCTGCCCTGGCTCTCGCCTTCCGCTCCTGGTGGTCGCCCATACCCCACGGCCCACCCACCCCGACACTGGCCCCTGGCCCCTGCTGGCCCTCCTTGTCCGCTGCCCGGGCCCACGGCCCGTCTCTACCCCCTGTCTGCTGCTCTTGCCCACTTGCTCGTCTGGCAACTACCGAGACTGTGCCTGAGGCTGGGGTCCCATATCCCCACCTCTAGACACCCCCTCCCACCTTCCCGGCACTCACTCCTTGGCCTTGACGGCCACCAGGACCCGCAGCGGGCGACGGGCACAGAAGGACTGGTTGAGGACGGTCTCCACCTCGGAGAAGGGCCGCATGGACACCAAGTCCTCGTTGATGGAGCAGATCCTCCGGCCCACCTGCAGGCCGGCCATCTGGGGGCCACGGGAGGGACACGGGGTTACGGGTGGGCTGGGCAGACAGCAGGACCCCGAGGACAGGAGATAGCCCCCCGGCCACCCCGTGAAAGCCCCTTTCCTTTCCAAGGGGAGGGCTCAGGGAATCCCCCCAAAACCCCCATGGACTGGCCACTGCAGGCCCACAACCAGCGGCTCCTCTGGCACCGCCCCGTGCCGCCAGGAGAGGGCGCCAGAGATCCACAGAAGCAACCCGCTACCCATCCTGGACTCAGTTTCCCCGTGTGGGCGATTGCCCCGGGTGGCCCACCCAAGGCCCGGGGACCCGGGGTCCCGGCTGTGGTTCCCGCTCACCTCGGCCAGCGAGCCCCTCTGCACCGACTTCACCACCACGGCCTTGTTCTTCTCCTCGATCTCGAAGCCGTAGTCCTCCTCCTGGGGCGGGATCTGCAGGCGGGGGGCAGGAGACGCGGGTGGGGGGTGGCCGGGGGGCAGACAAGCCCCCACGGACTCTGTGGAGCCAGCCGGCACCTCCGGGCCTGACTCCCCCAAGTCAAAATGCACTTAAGAGGGGAAGAGGCTGGGCCGGGGATGCAGAAGGGTCTCTGTATGGCCAAGTCCACTTGGGTCCCCGCCGCTGCCACCATGCTGCCCCACCCCCACCCGAGCACAGAGCCAGGAGCAGGTCCCGAGCAGGGCCAGGTGCGGCCCAAACTCCCACCTCCCGGGAGGAGGGGCGGGGAAGCAAGTGGCAGGTCATGTGTCCCATCAAGGGCCTGAGTGTGGGCCCAGCACTGCTGGGTGTCTCCCCCGGGGCCCTGGTGCACCCCAAAAGCTGGATCAGGGTGGAGCCTGCTGCCCTCGGGGAAACTCTCCCCTCCCCGAGGGACATTTCCAGACTCGGGGAGGGGGAGGCATTTCCGGGGACCCTCAGCTCTGCCCCAGGCCGGGCTGGGCCCCGGGGTTGGCCAAGAACAGAGGAGAGAGGAGTGGCCCCAGCAGAGGACCCAGGTGACCACCCCCTTCCCCGGCATGACCGGGAGCACCGGGAGCCCGGGAGCCGCGTCCACTCGCCGCCTACCAGCAAGCGCCGGGCCAGGACGTTCTCCAGCAGCCGGAAGTCACTGCGCAGCTGCTTGTTCTTGCCGCCGGTGCCCTCCATCTCCTCGTCGGCGTGGAAGCGGAAGTACTGCGACTCGTCCTTGAACTCGCTCTTCTCCAGCACTGCCAAGGCCCGGCCTGGGGTCAGCCCACAGCAGGACCGCCCAGCCCGGCCCACCACCACCACCACCACCATCCCCGCCCCAACCCGGGCTGGGCTGGCACTGTGCAGGGTTTCACGACACAAGACCCGTGGCCAGCACGAAGGCAGCGGGGGGCGGCCCAAAGAGCGGAGCCCCGGGCTTCTGAGAAGCCCAAATGGTTTCAGAGGGACTGGGCAGGAGCAGATGCGGGGATGGGATTGAGCTGGGGGATGGAGCATGTGTCCACGGTGCTCAGGCTGCGAGGGACGGACCGGTTCTAGGGGCACTGGGTTCTGACTGCACCCCCGGGCCCGGGAACCTGATCGAAGAGAACAGTGAAAGCTTGCCCAGGGGGAAACGTCAGGCTGTCTCTGTCGTCCAGAGTTTAAAAAGACGTCTGTCATTTTATACTATTCCTAACAAGCACTGTCCACTGTAGCACTGTCCTTCCGTTGTTCATCGATTTGCTCGAGCGGGCCCAGTAACGTCTCCATTGTGAGACTTCTTGTTACTGTGTTTGGCATATCGAACACGCCACAGGGAGCTTGCCAGGCTCTGCTGTGCGGGCAGGATACTCTCGGTAGCTTGCCGGGCTGTCCGAGAGGGACGGAGGAATCGAACCTGGGTCGGCTACGTATAAGGCAAACGTCCTACCTGCTCCAGCCCCTAACAAACAAGACAAAATAAAGATCTAGCCTCTGCCTGTAGGGCAGGTTTGAGTGGTGGTGGGAAAGTATAATGGTGTGGAAATATTGAATGTAATCAATTACTGTGAACAACTTTATGAAAATAAAAAAAGATGTCTGTTTACGAGGTGCCCCCAGGTACAGCAACACAGAGACCTGCGCTGGGCAGCCTGGCCACAGGCGGGGGGCAGACGCAGAAGTAACTCTAGCGCCGGGGCGAGTGGGGAAACCGACACCGAGACTAAGAGCCTTCAGGAGATCAGAAGAGCAAGCGAACGCAGGTACTCGGGCAGGGTTATGAGCTGGCCGGGCACAGGGGACCCCAAATGGAAAACGAACAAGAAAAGGCCCTCAGGGACTGGAGCCATAGGACAGCAGGGAGAGTGTTTGCTTCCTACATGGCTGACCCGGGTTCGAGCCCCAGCCTCCCACATGGTCCCCAGAGCACTGTCAGGAGTGATTCCTGAGTGCAGAGTCAGGAGTAACCCTTGTGCATCACCGGGTATGACCCAAAAAGCAAGCCAGCAAGAAAGCGAGAGAGAGAGAGAGAGAGAGAGAGAGAGAGAGAGAGAGAGAGACAGACAGACAGACAGACAGACAGACAGAGACAGAGAGACAGAGAGAGAAAGGAAAGGCTCTCAGCCCACAAGGCATTAGAAACAGCTCAGGGCTGGGACCACAGAGACCTACCCAAACTCCACACAAAAAGGCGTGTTTTTTTTTGGGAGGGGAGGGGTTGGGGTTTGGTTTTGGTTTTTAGTTTTTTGGCTATACCTGGCAGTGCTCAGGGATCACTCCTGATAGAACTCAGGGAACCATACGGGGTGGCAGGGGTAACCTGGGTCAGCCGTGTGCAAGGTGAGTGGCATCTTAGCCCACTGGACTATCTCCCCGGCCCCCCACAAATAAAGTTTTATTGGAACAAAGCCACACGCGCTTGTGTACATTTTTGTCTGGGCTGCTGTATCGCCCACCGGAGAGGAACTGTGGCAGAGACTGCAGGGCCCGCAAGACCTAAACTATGTTACTGAGAATTTCCTGAGCTCCGTTCCAAGGCGAGTCAGGGAAATGCAGGAGACTAATCAGGAATCACTGGTGCGTGATGTCACCCCTGCGGATGACAATGGGGAGCCAGGCCCGTGGAGCACAGGCTTATCCAGGGACACACCGGGCACCGTGGACCCTCTCAGCTCACGAGGACACAGGGCTCACATTCGCCAGGGACAGAGGGAGCAGAAGGGCCCGAAGGGTGAGCATAGCACAGAGAGCCGGCCCTTGCCTGCACGAAGGCACCTGGGTTCCACCCCCCCCGAGCCCCCTTGGAGTGATGCCCGAACCCAGAGCCAGGAATGAGTCCTGAGCCTCACCCGGTGTGGTCCCCAAACGAAACAAAACAAAACCCAAGCAAACCAAAAAAGAAACCTGGAGCCGAGGGAGAGGGCGGGGAGGGACACTCAGGCTGGGGTCAGTGCCCCCGCCGCCAGCCACGCAGAAGACGGCTTCCTCTCTGCACCCCTCCTCCCCCGACACAGAGCCCACTCCCACCCTGCCCTCACTTCTGTGCTGAGCAGACACCCAAATTGCCACTTTGCCCAGGGCGGGCCACCAGGCTCCGGGCTGCGAGGGGGTGGCCCGGCTCTGCCTGTCCTGTAAACATGCACCAAAGGTGCACTCGGAGGTGGGGGTGGCCCGGGGTGCTTCTTCCAACACAGAAACATGGGGGTCGACAGCTGGAGCCTCGAGACTGGCCTAGGGTGTCTGTGGGGGTGGGGTGGGCTTCCTGAGAGGGACCAGACACGGTTGTGCACCCCAACTTGGTTATTTCCTAACGCCTCCGTCCCCTTACGGGTGGGGGAGGTGCGGGGAGTGGATGGTGCGCCTCGGTTTCCCCATCTGTGATAAAGTGAGGGCTGGGCACCCGCCTTGAGCTCAGGCCTAGAAGTCTGGGGCGCCCCTGCCACCCCGCCCATGCCTCGCCTGCACTTCAGTGCGGCCGAGAACTGCAGCCCTTTCCGATTTTAGCCGCTTCTGAGTGCGTGGCAGGGAGCAGGGGCCGCGCCTGGCAATTTCCCTCCCCAGGGGCCCGAGGGTGCCGGCAACCCCCCTCCTCAGCCCGTGTCCCCGCCAGCCGCCTTCCCGGAATAGCAGCAGGGTGGACCCCTAATTACTTTCACCCACAAATGAGAGGCTCTGGCCCAGCCGTCCCTCTGCGGGCAGCAGAGTGGGGGCCAGGGACTCTGATGACATGGACAGAGGGAGGGGGACACCCAGGCGGCCGGCCCATGTGGGGATGGATGAGTCCTGAGCAGAGTTAGGCTCCGAGGCATGGAGGACGGCTGAGGCGCTGAGGCATGGGGGGGAGGGGTGGGAGCCGCTTCCTGGGAGTCAGCTGGGTCAGGCCGGGGACCAGGACAGTCGGGGGTGAAGGGACACCGGGACAGGGGCCACGGGGATGGGGGACACAGGGGCATGGGGGCAAGATATCACAGGGATGGGGAAACAGGAACATAGGGACGGGATCAAGGGGACACAGAACACGGGGACAGGAGGACGCGGGGTGTGGACACAAGAACAAGTGGACAGGAGCAGGGACATGAGGAGGGAGGCAGAGGGGAGGGGCTGGGGAGTGAGAAGTCCCAACAGGACAAGCAGGAGGCCGGTGAGAGGCAGGCCGAGGGCCCAGGTCCCTGAGACTTGCTTCTGGAGCAAAGGCCTGAGGCTGTTCTAGAAACGGGAGGAATCCGGTTCCCGCTCCCACGATGGTGGTGCCTGGCCACTGACCATGATTCTGAACTGTGGGGCTTCCACCCCTGCAACTGGGGTGAGGTCTCATCCCTGTTAATTGGGGCTAAGTCAACCCCTATAAATAGGATGAGTCCTCCCACGTGAATGGGCGGAGTCCTCCCCATGTGAATGGGGTGAGTCCTCTCCATGAGAGGGTTTAGTCCTCCCATGAATGGGTGAGTCCCTCGGTGAATGGGTGGAGACCTCCCCATAAGTGGGTTGAGTCCCCCTGTGAATGGGGTGAGTCTTCCCATGAATGGGTAAGTCCTCCCGTGAATGGGTGAGTCCCCCAGTGAATGGGTGAGACCTCCCCATAAGTGGGTTGAGTCCTCCCATGAATGGGATGAGTCCTCCCGTGATAAGGGTGCGTTCTCCCATGAGTGGGTGAGTCCTCCCTTGAATGAGTCCTCCCGTGAGTGGGGTGAGTCCTCCCATGAATGGGTGTGTCCTCCCGTGAGTGGGTGAGTCCTCCCGAGAATGGGTGAGTCCTCCCGTGAGTGGGTGAGTCCTCCCGAATGGGTGAGTCCTCCCGTGAGTGGGTGCATCCTGTCCCTGACACATCTGTCTCCGTCCAAATGCACGGGGGCCCCTTTCTCCTGCCAATGCCCAGTCTGGGGTGAGGCTTCCCTACTGCTCCCCGTGGGAAGAGCACTGACTCCCAGGACTGGGCCGGGGCCCACCCGCTCCCCTCCTGCCAGGCCCAGCCCGGGGAAGCCCAGAACCAGCATCGCGTTCCCTGTGTCCCCACCGCTGCGAGCTGGGCCCTCCCTTCCTTTCAGCACCAGCTGGGGAGAGGCACGAGGACTCCCGGCCCCCCGAGCCCACGCAGGGCTGCAGCCTTCAGCCTGCCCGCCCCACTCACGCTCTCTGGCCTCAGTTTCCCCTCCCATGCCATTACCATGGTGCATGAAGCCATTGTTGCACAGCCCCACGCCGAGCGCCACGGCCTCCTCCCGCGTCTGACAGTCGCCCTGGAAGGGAAGAGGGGAGGCCGTCAGCAAGGGGCGGGGCGGGGACCCCCCCAGGCCCCCAGGGCCACCACCGGCGCAGAGCCCTGTGTCTGGTTTCACTCCTGTGGTGTCCCCAAACACGTCGGTGTGCTATTGGTCAGCCCCGGGGACCCAGCACCACCGTCTGCTGGGCGCGGTGCCCTAATAGCCAAGAAGGGGCACGGTTAGGGGGAGGCTCGGAGCCAGCAGAGCCCAGTCCCACTCTGCTCTGGGATGAGACCCACACAGGCACAGACCTAGAGCTTCTCTCCAGACAACAGACCCCCTTCCCTCTTGGCCGGGGCGGCCAAGGAGAGAAGCCAAACTCACTGGGGGGAGCTCTGGCAAGCCCACTTATCACTAGCCCTTCCGTTCTCTTCCTCCAACTTAGGGACTCAGATGCGACAGCTGGTGCTCCCGCAATCACCCTGGAGCCAAGAGGACCCCAGAGCACAGTAACACAAAGGACATTAACAGGCCAGAAGCAGGTACGGGGGTCCCCAAAGTCATTCTGGGGCTGCCCACGTAGCTGGAGAATCCTGACCTCTCATTGGAAAGGAAAACAAGCTTCTCACTTGCTTCAGCCCCTGTGCTTGGATCTCTGATGTCAGAAACCAGCTTCTTACTGACCAGTCTTTGGCCTTTGACCACGGGGGGTGCCCATGAGGGCACTCTGGGAAATCCCTCCCTCCGACGGGAAAGGGAACAAGGACATGCCACGTGGAGGAGCAGGGGGTGGCCAGCACTGAGGGGGCCGGAGTGAAAGGCGGAAGGTTCTGGATTGTGGCCGAGGCCACTCAGACAGATGTCAGGGGGCCCTAGCTCAGGGCAGGACTTCCCCGCGGGGCACGCGAGGCCCAGACCGGCCCCCACCCAGCAGCTGGGCGCCAGAGCGGAGGACGGAGGGTGTGGGGCGAGCAAGGTACTGATTCTGCACAAGCACCGCCAGTGCCGAGCGGTCGGGCTTCTCTCTCCGAGGCCCCAGGGAGGGCTGCCCGGCCCTGGGTGGACCTTGGCCTTGCGGCCGTCAGCAGGCCGCTTTCTCTCCTCTCCCCAGATGAACCAGAACCTGTTTATTTCTGGGAACCCGGCCCATGCGGGCACTGGCGGCCAGCGCAGCACACAGGGGCGAGGGGCCAGCAGGGTTGAGGCTCAGAGCAGCGCGGGCTGTAAGGGGGAGCGAGGCGGCAAGCGGTGGCCCGGCATGTCTGCCCCCGGGCGTGAGGCGGCCAGTGCCGTGGGCAGAGCTTGCCGTGCGGATACGGCTGGCGGCTCAGATCAACAGCCACGGAGCCAAGCCCTGTGGGCTCTGCAGCTGGGCTGGTGTTTCGGCTCCACACCCGCCAGCATTGGCCATGACTTCTCTGCTTTCGTTTCCTTTGACAGACTTTCCTCCCAGACTTGCCCTCCGTGTTCCAAAGCCTCTAGCACTCCACGAGCAGTGCTCCGAGTCCAGAACCCACAACACAACACAGGCTCCTGCCAATGCCAAGGGGTATTTTCATGGTGGATGTTGTCATGGGCCCTTGTCACCAGGTTACTATTGTCAGACTTCCCCACACACACATATGTGCGTGTTCACGCACACACACACACACACACACACACACACACACACACACACGCAAGCGTGAGTAGGACTAGCCGCAAGGCAAGAGGCAAGTTATATAAGCAGACTCTCCGGTTCCTCAGGAATAAAATGGGGATAATAAGTGTTTTTTTTTTTTCCAGGTTGTTCTGAGGATTGCTCTCGTCCGGAGTGCAGTCTCTGCCCCCGCGCCTCGGTGTTCCTTCCCGGAGTCCCTTGGAGGGGAGCGGGTTGAGCTTTCCTCCCCGCCCCGGCCAGGGCTACGGCAGCCGGAGACCTCCAGGACCAGCCACCACCATGCTGAGACCACTCTCCGCACACCTGAAGGTACTGGCAGAGGGACAAAGCCACGCGGGTTCCGGGGCCGAGACCTCCAAGCCTACTCGAATTGGAGTCGAGCATCTTCCACCCAGATCCTCCAAATTCCAGTAGGCGGGGGTCACACCCACCACCTGGCCCCCTGGCGCCGTGTAATCCCATCAGCGGCCAAGACTCAGAGACTATAAAATCCAGATCCCGGAACCGCGCGGCCGCATTCGCGGCCGCGCGACATCTTATTATCTCATTCCTACTTTGGACAAACTTGCAGGCTGTCGAATGTAGCCTGCCCACAGGGCAGAGTCTGGCAAACTCCCCGTGGCCTACCAAATATGCCAAATACCAGTAACAATGATGGGTCTCATTCTCCTAAAGAGCCCTGAATATAATCTCAGGGCTAGGATGAAAGAGACGTTACTGGGGCCTGCTCGAGGCAATCGACGATTAACAGGATGATGAAATGAAATGAAATGTTCTGAGGATTGAGGAACCGCACCAAGATCAGAGCTGATAAGCGGGCAGCCTTGTCCATCCAGGAGCTAATCCCTACTTAATCCTCAGAGTGAAAAGAGCCAGGAGTGCTCCAGAGAGCCCCTCCCCAGCCTCAAGGAGTGAGTTCCAAGGAATTCAAAGCTGCAGTGGGCGGGGCTCTTGCCTTGCATGACTGGGGTTTTGATTTCGACGCGGTTACCCCACCCCTGGTCCCCAGAGTACTGCCAGAAGTGTCCCCTGAACACAGAACCGGGAAGTGGCTCAAAAACAAGAACCAAATGTTCTGCACCTGTCTCTGCTGCCTACCTTTGGTCAGAGAGCGACACGGATGTGATGTCTGGAGCTGTGGCAGCCTCTTGGTGAATATGAGGCAACTGCCACCAAGATGGCAGAACCGAAAGATGGGAAGGGCCTGGATGGAAGGGGAACTGCCAAGCGCCAGGCCTGTGAATTCCAGGCGCCTAGTGAAGTGAGGAACTGTCTTTGCTGTCTGAGGCTGCCCACTGCAGGAGGACCGTGTCTTCACTGAATAGTCTGGTTCTGCTATAAACAGCCACAGCACAGCTAGCCAGTAGGTAGGTGCCAGCCAACACTGGCACCGACAAGCCAGGAGTGAACAAGCATTCACGGGACTCAACACTCCTGAACTGCACCAAGCGTCTTTGCTTCTCGCCTTCCTGCTGAGGTCTGGGGGAAGATCCAGTTGTCAAGGACAGAGTCTGGGCAGCCACCTCGCCCCACGCAGACCCTCTCAGACACCCCAGCTGCCCATATTCCGGGCCTGGTGCCTTCTGTCCTCCAGGCAATCCGGGAAGCTCCTTCTGCATCAGTTCCAACAGTCCCTAGACCTGGCTTAGGGCCGGGTCTAGCCTTGCTGAGGGCCCCTGCAGCCTTCCTCCACCATCCCAGCTCCGCGGGAAGACTGCTGGGCAGGCGGGTCTCCAGTACCACTGACAGTGACACAGGCCACGCCCAGAGGCGGGCCCAGCCAGGCCCAGAACCAATCAGCAAAACGCACCCCCCACTGACAGACAAAGGCCACACCCAGGGGCGGGCCCAGCCAAGCCCAGCACCAATCAGTAAAACGCAACTCCCATGACACAGGCCACGCCCAGGGGTGGGCACAACCAGGCCCAGCACCAATCAGCAAAGCAGTCACCACTGACAGTTCCAGGCCACGCCCGGGGGAGGGAACAGCCAGGCCCAGCACCAATCAGCAAAGCACAAGGCTGGTAGCTCCTGGCGAAGCCTGACCTGGAAGTCCGCTGGCACCCCAGGAAAGTTCTGTTCCCGGAAGGTGCCAGGCTGGCATTTTGGAGCCCCCTGAAGCCAGGTGCGTGGGGAGACCACTTAAGTCGTTCACCCCCAATGACTGGCTTCCTGGTTGTCTTGTCTCTGAACCTCAAAATTTCTCTCCACCTTCTAAACCCTGTGATTGCCAAGTCCTAGGAGTGCTAGGGTTCTTGGGTTCTTGCCCCAAACTCTGGTAGGCTCGGTCAACACTGCCAGCACTGAGGAGAGAACCCGAGACCACACCCAGCCCCCGGTTAACCAGAGTGGCTGTTTTTGCTCCACTTTAGTGGAGACTGAGGCCCAGGGCGGCTGGGCATTCGCGGGAGGGAACAAGGGAATCCAACAAGGGAATCCGAGTGCTGAGATCTGAAACCAGGTCGGCCTGGCCCAACATCCAGCATGTGCTCTGGGAGTCCCAGACTTGAAGACCTAAGCACGGGATCATTTCGAGAGCTCCCAGCCCAAAGGGGTCCCCTGTCACAGCCCCAACACTGGGGCCGGAGCACAGTTGGGAGGATGCTCGCCTTGTACATGGCAGACCCCAGGTTCGATCCCTGGCATCCCATATGGTTCCCCCAGCCCCACCAGGGGCGATCCCTGAGTGCAGGCAGGCGTAAGCCCTGAGCATCACCGGGTGTGACCCCCATACAAAACAAAACCCAATGAGCACAAGTATCTTTTACAAATGCAAGCCCAGGTGTCTCACCTGCGCCAGCAGCCAGTCCACCAGCTTGCTCCCCGGCAGCACTGACTTGTAAGTCTTCAGGTGATAATCACGGTCTCTGCAGGGAGGAGAAGCTCAGTGTGAACACGGCAGGCACAGAAAACAAGGGCATTCAGGACCATGGGGCATGGGGGTGGGTGAGGACAGGCAAGGCACCCAGCTACCAGATTCTACTTCATCACAGGGCTGTCTTCCCTGGAACCCACTTTCACCATGACAGATGGCAGAGTTGGGGCTGGAAGGCTCTAGAAACTGCCCTCTCATCAGCTCAAGTGGGGGGCTATTAAGCAGGTGGAGGCTTTGCCCTACACACACACACACACACACACACACACACACACACACACACGGTGGTTCTGATGTGGTCAGGGCAGGCAGGGGTCTGTTGGAATCTCACAGGCAGAGACCAGGGATGGAGGGACAATGCTAACCCCCTCTCCCTGCCCTCCCCCCCAGTGGCCCAGCACAGCCCCACAACAACAAAAAAAAAGTCACATGTTTGGCACCCAGAGTGCCAGACCACAGCCAGGAAACCCCCCACGCCTGCCCTTTGTGTCTCGCTGTGGTGAGCACTGTGCCCCAGAAACTCCCTCCCGAGCAGGGTGGGGGCCTGTGGCCTTCCTGCACTGTGAGGCAGAATCAGTCCCGCCACCTCACTTCCTGCAGACACGGCACCTTCGCAGCACTGAAGCCCACAGACGTGCAGAGGCTGAGCGGGTCAGGGGGGTGGAACTTTCTGGAACTTTATCAAACTAGGGCTCTGGCAGGTTACGTGCGCAGAAATCTCCACCCACCTCTGCCACTTCCTTCCAGGGGGAGGTGCAGGGCTGTCCCCTGGACTGTGAGCCCCCTCCTGCCTTCTGGGAGTCCCAAGGGAGCAGGGGAGGAGGGAACCAGAGGCACCCAGGCCTGACCTCCAGGGAGGCCAGCAAATGTCTCCCTCTCTTGAGAGGAGACGGGAATTCTCGGCAGCCGAGTAGACAGAGGTCACCTCCCTGTTCCAGAATGTGGCCCTGAGCCTGCTTTTCTAGAACATTCACCATGGCCCTGGGGACACGGTGATGCTATGAGCTCGGCTTGCCGCTCAGCTCAGCTCCACACACACACACACACACACACACACACACACACACACACACACACCCCTTGACACACTCTGCGGGGCTTTTCAAACGTCTCTTCTTGTCCACACACGGGTTGTCCAGCTGGAACCACTCAGCCGGCCCGACAGCTCCGGGTCACTCCCGGGAGCGGCTGAACCAGCACCTACACGCAGATTCATGGCAGCGGTCTCAAGAGTACGAGGACCCCCTCTGAACAGGGTAATTAAGAACCAAGGGACCAGGGGATTCTTTTAAAAAAATGTCTTAATTAAATCATTCATCTGCTCAGCACAAGGAATTAAAATGAAATTGCACTGTCGGGTCTCACAGGCTTAGGGCCAGTGGGACTCCACGGCTTCTGGGCCGGCTAGACACACAGCAGCCTCTTGGAGCCGGAGAAAAGTTCTTCCAGAAGGTTCTGCTGGTTGAGGTCTGGGGAGCCAGCAGTGCGCAGACTCCTCACACTGAGGGAGCTTATGATGGGGGGGGGGCAGGACAGAGACCCACCAGAGCACCTCAAGGTGCCTCTGCCTGGGCAGCCCCAAGAGGAAGCAAGGAAAGCTGGCCCCCCCGGGTGCTGGACTGCGACATGTCCTAGGCGGGGTACAGGCCGGGCCCCTGGGATTGGAGGCACATGATGAAAGCCAAGGAGCTAGGACACAGGTGAGTCTGGCCAGCACCCAGGCCGGGAACTTCAAAGGCAGAGCCCCGAGGGGCAGCTACCAGTGCTCCGCCAACCACAGTGGGGAAGCCGAGACCTTGGGGGTCAGGTGACTACACAGGTCACAGCGGGAACAGGTGACTATACAGGTCACACAGTGGGAACAGGTGACTACCTAGGTCACATGGCAGAGAACACGTGACTATACAGATCACACACAGAGGGACCAGATGACTATACAGGTCAAACGGCAGGAATAGGTGACTACCTAGGTCACGTGGCAGGGAAAAGGTGACTACCCCAGGTCACACGGCAGAGAACAGGTGACTGTACAGATCACACACAGAGGGACCAGGTGACTATACAGCTATACACAGCAGGGAAGGGGTGAGTATACAGGTCACACGGCAGGAATAGGTGATTAGCCCAGCTCACACACAACAGAAACAGGTGACTATACAGGTGACACAGAGGGAACAGGTGACTATATATGTCACTTGGCAGGAATGGGTGACTACCCCAGGTCACACACAACAGGGAACAGGTGACTATACAGGTCACAGCGGGAACAGGTGACTACCCAGGTCACATGGCAGGGAACAGGTGACTATACAGATCACACACAGAGGGACCAGGTGACTATACAGGTACACACAGCAGGAAACGAGTGGCTATACATGTCACATGGCAGGAATAGGTGACTACCCCAGCTCACACACAACAGGTGACTATACAGGTCACAGAGGAACAGGTGACCGAGCCATAAGGGGCTGTCTGGCTAGCACAGGGGAGGCTCGGGGAGGATGGACGCGTGGCCCGGGCACTCAGGGAGGATGGGAGAGGGGAGGCACTCACTTGATCATGGGCGTGTAGAGACTGTGCAGGCGGCAGTAGAGTCTCACGCCCTGGAAACAAACAAGGGTCGGGGGTCTCCACGCAGGCCCACCCTGCCACGGACCACACACAGAGGCGGCGGGGCCTGGGGAATGGGAGGGCCGGGCGGGCGGCTACCTTGGACACGATGTCCTCCAGCTCGCTGCGGGCCTTGTAGGTGCCGTCGTCGTAACGAAACCGGTACATCACCTGCTCGTTCTTGAACTGGTGCTTGTCAGAGACTGAGGAACACAGCGGAAGTGAGGCTGTGGGCATCCCCGGGCGCCGTCCACCACCCATGGCCAGTGCTGAATCAGCCTCGCCAAACCCTCACGGAAACCGACGCATCTGCAGGGCCCCGGCAGCGGTGCCCAGCCCCAAACCCCAAAGCTGACGCCAGTATGCTGGGTTCTGCGTGGGCCGTAAGGGGCTGGCACCCCGCTGCCCCTTGCTCCTCTCCTTTCCTGCTGGCCACTCTGCGCACGGCAGTCCACGGGCCGACCTCTGCTGGACTCCCTGCCTGCCTTTCTAACCCTCCCAGGCCCCTACCAGCCCCGACAATCCAAACCCTCATCCCTTCCGGACCCTCCGACCTCACCTTCCAGGCAGCCCCCATCCCGAGGCAGCCACACTGGCCTGTGAACCAGGCCCTGGATCGCCCCACCCACCCCAGCCCCAGGGCATTTGCACAGGCTGCTCCCTCAGCCTGGACCCTCACATTCCCAGCCCCTACTCTCAGGGTCACCTCTCAACGAGACCCGCCCAGCCCCTGCTCCAAGCTGAGCCACACTCCTGCTTTCCCTCCCTTGTACGAGGCACCATCTGTACTTGCACATACACACACACGGACTCACAGGTGCACAGCCACACACACAAGCTCACATGCACACTCACACATGTGCAAGTGCACCCACATATGCACTGCCACACACATGCACATACATTCACATACATGCACTCACATACATGCACACACACGTATATCATGCACACACCATTATGGCCACAGTGTAGACAGGCACTGCTGTGTACCCTGCCTACCCCCCACACATACACACACGAGCACAGAGCCTGCAGTAACAGTGCCCTGTCCACACTCCCTGAGGGATGATACCAGACACGAGATTCCACCTGCTTCGCAGGATCATGCAGGAAATCCTAGCATTTCCCAGCTGCAGCCAGGTGAGTGCTGGGCTGCCAGACAGAACTTCTGCACGTCCCTGTCCCGGGGGCAGCTGCCTGCCAGTCCAGGCAGGCCAGAGCCCGCAGGAGCTGCCCCCGGCCCAGCCCCACTCACCGTGGTGGATAATTCCGTTCTCCAACAAAGCTTGGCCCAAGTTGACTCCTTCTTCCGTCTTGCTGATTTCTCCAATTTCCAGGAGCCAGGAAACAAACTCACTGCCAGAGACAGAAGGTGACATTGAGAGAATCTCTTTGTTCTGGGACCACTGGGACCAGGAACGAAGCCAGCCATACCTCACCTACTCCTGGAAACTAGAAGCTTCTAGAGGGAAGTAAGCCCTAGAACCCCACAGACCTGGAGGTGGAGCTCAGGGTTCTCCCCACAACCGATGGCAGAGATGGGTGTGACTGACTCAGGCTTCCTCAAGCTCACTGGATGAATGCGCTGATGAAGGGGTGGATGGATGGATGATGGATGGATGGATGATGGACGATGAATGGATGATGGATAGAGGGATGGTGGATGATGGATGGATGGACGGATGATGGATGAACGGATGGATGATAGATGGATGATGGATGGATGGATGGATGGATGGATGGATGAGTGGATGGATGACTGGATGGATTATGGATGGATGGATGATGGATGGGAGGATGATAGATGATGGATGGATGGAGGACGGGTGATGAATGATGGATGGACGAATGATGGATGGATGGATGATGGATAACAGATGATGGATGGATGATGAATGGATGGATGATGAGTGGATGATGGATAGATGGATGGTGGATGATGGATGGATGATGAATGGATGGATGATGGATGAATGATGGATGAATGGGTTGGTGTATGGATGGATATATGGACAGCTGAAGAGATGGACATATGGATGGATGAGTGAATGGACAGAGAGTGAATCAAAGGTCAGATGGATGAGCAGGGGGAAGAAAGGAAAAAGGGAGGATGACAGCACACACGTGCATGCATGGACTGACGGACAGGCCAATAAATGGACAGAAGGACAGATGAGTGACAACTTGACAGATAAACCACTAGGTGACTGGAAGGGGGTGAGCAGGGGAGTGTTAGTGGACAGGCCACTGGTGAGTGGACAGTTGGTCGAGGAGCAGGGACTGGGAGGGTGAGTGGGTGGAGGAAGAGAAGAAATAAGGGCCCAGAATGACCAGAGAGATCTTGGTGCTCCAGCCACATCACCCCTACCTAAAGCCCACCGAGGTTTCCCCTTCACTCTCAGGGCAGACATGCCTGTCCACATACAGGCCGGGTGTGGGCCACCCCTCCTGCTGGTCTCTGCCTCAGGAACTTTGCAGGTGCTGTTCCCGGGGCTTGGATAGACCTTCCCCTACCCCTCATGCCTCAGTCTTGTCAGGCTTCCTATCTCAGCTCAAATGCCACCTCCTCAGAGAAGCCCACCCTGACTCCCTCCTGGAAGCAGACCCATGCTGTCCAGTCCCTTGCTGAACTTGCACAGCTGTGCCCAGCTCAGGGCTCCAGCTGCCCTGCCCCTGTCCATCTGCATGCAGCCCCCGGGGCCAGCAGACACTTGACGGATTCATGGTCCCAGTACCCTGAAGCCGGCCCAAAGCACAAGAGGGTCCCCCCCACCCCCCGCCCCCTGTCATTTACTGAACAAACGAAGGAAGGTTCTGGGGTCAGCAGGAAGGCCTGGGGAGAAAGCAGTGCTCACGGGCCAAGGCTCGGGGCCCGCCCCTGGCAGTCCCGGCTGGTGCCCCGAGTCCGGGCTTGCGGGGGCGCCGGACCCCGCCCAGCCAGCAGGAAGAGGGAGCAGAGGCGGGGCCGGGCCCGTTTCCGCCCCCAATCTGGGTTCAATGAAAGCAGGTGGCAGCTGGCCAGCACCCGCGCGGCCACTTAGCACGAGCAGCTGTCCTGCCTCCAACTGCAGCCCAGGGGGACTGCGCTATTTTTAGCTCCCGGCAGAGCGAAGCCCTGCCCGGTGTGCGGTCGCGGGGGGCACAGAGGCATCCCGGGCGCCGAGACAGCAGAGCACTGAGGCTGGAGCCCGGGAGGGGGGGTCGCTGTCCACTCCCACTTCCAGCGCTCCATTCCCGCAGCCCGGAGACAGACGGGAAGGAGGGAGGGAAACAGATGTGGGGCGTCCACTCCCAGCCTCTGGGGACCCAGCAGCTGCCCACCCACCAGCGGCCCCCACCCCGGGGGCTGCACTGGCCAGTGGCCAGATGGGGGCGGAAGTGTCCCCTCAGCAGCTGCAGGGGCGGGAGAGAGCCCGGAACACGGTGTCGCGTCCTCAGCTGAGTCTCGCCCCTTCCACGGGCCCCCCGGGGGTCCACTCGCCTGCTGGACGAGTCGGGGTGCTCCCCTCTGGGGGCCTCCCATCTGGCCAGTGGCTGCTCGGGGGCCTGCTAGATTTGGGGCTCCACTTTCTGCTCATCTGGATCTTAAGTCAGGACCGGGGTGAGAAGCAGAGAAAAGCTCTCCCTAATGGGGGTCCTGGAAGCTGGGGGGCTGCAGTGAGTGGAAGGGGCTTCAGGGCCACGCGGGAGGCGCGACTGACCCCACCTCAGCCCCTGCCTGTGCCCTGGCACTAAAGTCTCTGTGGCTTCAAGGACCACGGCAGGGCCGGGGACACACTCGCAGGCACTGAGGGACCCCGAAGTGTGGATCTGGCCATTGAACCGTCCAGCGTGACCCAGTATCCCTGGGAGTGACCCCAGGAAACCCCCCAAAGGGGACCAAATAACACCCGTCATCTCTCACGGAGGTTTTGCCTGAATCGCCTTCTCCATCCGGATCCAAGGGTCCCAGGCAGACCACCCTACACCCCCTACTCTCCTAGGGGCCCAGCTCCTCATCCCCCTTCCTGGGCCCTGCACCCCATCGGCAAATGCGACACCCAAAGGCATCCAGGCCGAGGCCACAAGAACCCCGAGTTTAGGTGGTTGGCCCCAACCCCAGTGTTGGTGTCCAGGTGGGAACACGTGGGGAGGGTCACTGGGTCACGGCTAAGTCCAGTCCCCACCCCCCTCGCACACCACACTCGGTCCCCAGCTGGAGCCCAGGCCGGGGGGCTCAGTGGCTCCAGGGCTGGGACCACCCTGTCAGCACACAGGAAACCAGCCGGACCTTTCCGGGGGGCTGTTTCCTCTGCCGTTCCCCTCACACCCCCCAGAGCAGGGGCAGAGCTTGAACCCCATCCCACCCCTCTTTCATCCTTGGATCGAAAACCAGGCCGTGGGGTGGGGGCAGGGTGCCGAGGCTTCCCCATTAGGCAGTGTTTGCCCCCGAGGAAGAGCTTGGGTGCCCCCATCCCTGCAGCCCAGACCCGGAGGGCCCTGGTGGCTGACAGGCCCGGAGCTGGGGGGGAGTTTCTCCCGGACCTCCCAGGCTGCAGGGTCAGTGGGGTCAGCACAGGTTAGCACCCATGAGGGAAGGGTCCTGCAGTGAGATCCCCAGAATGAACAGCCCTGCCCCCATGCTCCACCCCAGGGCCACGAGCAAGCCTTCCTTGGGAGCTAGCAAGCACCCCCCCACACCGGCCAGCTGTTAGGGACCCACGGTGGGATGATGCCAGGGATTCCGCTCAAGGTAGGAAGGGAGGAAGGAAGGAAGGAAGGAAGGGGGGAGGGACGGAGGGAGGGACGGAGGGAGGGAGGGAGGGAGGGAGGAAGGGAGGGAGGAAAGGAGGGAGGGAGGGAGGGAGGGAAGGAAGGAAGGAAGGAAGGAAGGAAGGAAGGAAGGAAGGAAAGAGAGAGGAAGGAAGGAAGGAAGGAAGGAAGGAAGGAAGGAGGGAGGGAGGGAAAGAGGAAGGAAAGAAGGAAGGAAGGAAGGAAGGAAGGAAGGAGGGAAAGAGGAAGGAAGGAAGGAAGGAAGGAAGGAAGGAAGGAAGGAAGAAAAGGACACAAAAGGGAAGGAGGGTGAGGGGAAGAGACGGAGCAGGGAACAGGGGGATGGGTTGGACTCCTAGAGCCACTGACTGCGTGACAGGTCAGCTCTGACTGTTCTGAGCGAGGCAGCGACTGTCAGAACCACAGAAAGACGGACCCCGTGGCGCGCCTGGCCCCACACCCCGGAGATCGGGTGCTCGAGTGACGCCCAGGAGGGTGCCTGCCCACCCCCAGCCCGGCCCGCGGGGGAGGTGGCCACTCACTTGCCCAGGAAGCATCGGGACACGGTGCTCAGCTTCCGCCGCCGGTCCTTGATGAGGTTCACCTTCTTGCTCGTCATCATGTGGTAGAGCTTCTCGCCCTTCTCGGCCACCATGACGTAGGCGTCCCGCTCCATGCCCAGCTTGAGGCCTGCGGGAGGGCCTGGTCAGCCCTGGGGTGGCCACAGCCAGCGGGCAGCGGGGGTGGGGGTGGGGTTCCTGCCCAGGATGGCAGAAAGCATCGTACTCCCCCAAGAGGCCGACCCGCCCTCTGTCACCTGGGGGTCTCTGCCCGGCCACTCCCTGGCCAGTAGGGTAACTCAGCCTGTAGGACACAGGCAAGCCCCATGAACCCCAGCAGGACGCGTCCCCAGAAAGGGGACAGACCCTCGAGGGGACAGAGGCACGTAGGGGCCAGGTGGGTCACCAACCCTCAAGGGCCATGGGGCAAGAGGCCCAGGATGATCTACGTGGGGATGGTCTCAGCGTCTCCGCCTGCCCGGGGGGGCTCAACCGGGTGGCCGCAGGGGGCAACAGCCCAGAGGCCCCACCCCTTTTGAGAGCTGCTTCCAGCAGCTCGGGCCTTTCCAGAGGGGCCCCTCACCCGGGCGCCCCGCGGGCCCCACTCACTCTCGCGCTGCTCCCGCTCGCGGATGATGGCGTCCAACCACTTCTGCTTCTCCTCGGCCGTCCTGGCCATGCACACGACCCACTTGTTCTTGGCTGTGTTGTGGATCTTCCAGCCGTTGGTGACCGTGTAGCCGTTGCTATGGTAATCCGCTGACATGGGGTGGGGGGAGCACAGGGAGGTGGGCGTGGATGGGGCGGCCAGCGCCAGGATGCTGCCCCAAACGCTTTGGGCTGGGCTGGGTGAGTGGGGGGTCACGAGGCGCATCCCCTGCCCCCACTCTCTCCTGCCTGCCCTCTGGCAGCGGCAGGGGGGACCCCCTCAGGCCCAGTCACAGGCTGGGCATGGGCCTGGAGCGGGTGCTCGGCGGGGCCGGGCTCACCTGTCCCGTCCTCCACGTTCTCCACCTCCATGACCTCGGTGTTGATGCGGCCCCTGAAGATGTACAGGGAGCCATTGATGGATTTGGTCCTCTTGCTGGACTTCTTGCCCCCGGTGACTCTGGAAGACAGTGGGAAGTGGATATTTTTTATTATACGACAGCACAGATACTTTTATTATGTGATAGTCCCCCGGCCCCCGCCAGACCCCAGGGGACCAATATCTCCCAGGGGCAGTGGGGGCAGCAGTTGCAGCAGGGAACGAGGACGAGGCCAGGGCACAGGGACCAGGTTAGAGTCATGGGAACGAGGACAGGGGCATGAGCTCTGAGCAGGTGGCGGGAGGCTTGAGCCAGTGGCTCGTCCTCCCAGTTTTCTCGTCTGGAAAACAGGCAAATGGCTCTGTCGTCGCCACAGAATGGCTTTTTGGTTACCAAGAGACATCAACAAGAAGCAGAAGAACCCCCATTCTTTTATCTTTCTTTTTTTTGGTCTTTTTGGGTCACATCCGGCAATGCTCAGGGCTGACTCCTGGTTCTCCATTCAGGAATTACTCCTGGCAGTCTGGGGGACCCTATGGGATGCCGGGGATCGAACTCAGGTCGGCCACATTCAAGGCAAATGCCCTACCCACTGTACTATTGCTCCAGCCCCAAATCCCCATTCTTCTTTGTTAGAAAATGGGTAGGGACACAGAGTGTCTACTAAGGGGTGTGGAGGAGGCCAACAATCCATCCATCCATCCATCCATCCATCCACCCATCCATCCATCTGTCCATCTGCCCACCCACCCACCCATTCACTCACCCACCCATTCATCTACCTATCCACCCACCACCTACCCATCCACCCATCCGTATGCCCCTCCACCCACCTGCCCATCCGCCCCTCCACCTTCCATCCACTCAGGAGAATCCCATCTCTTGCCCGTTCAGTCACTCAACAATCATCCAACCGGCATTTCTGACATGCAGGACACCAGGTTGGGACGAGGGGACTCCTGGTGCATGCGTTCACCGAGCACAGCACCCATCAATCCTGAGTGCTGATCAGGTGCTGGGGCAGCCCGAGTGAACGCGGTCCCGGAAGTTGGCTGAGAGCGTCTCCTCCAACACTGGAGCTGGGCCCCGACACAGACGGACACAGTGATGCAGACAGAACTGACGGAACCCGGAGGGCTGGACGCTGCCTGTGTGCTCGGCAGAGGTCTCACACTCTCGAGTCTCCGGGGTCCATCCCCACACCCGCGCTGACCATATGCTGCCCCCGCCACTGATCATACACTGGCCGGCATGTGAACGGGGAGGGGCTGAGTCCCTGAACAGGGTTTGTATGTCGGGGCAGAGTAGGTGAGGGTGTGCTGCCTTGTGTTGGGTGAGCATTAAGGAAGAGGCTGATGGGGCTGGAGCCATAGCACAGCGGGTAGAGTATTTGCCTTGCACGCGGACCACCCGGGTTCGATTCCCAGCATCCCATAGGGTCCCCTGAGCACCGCCAGGGGTGATTCCTGAGTGCAGAGCCAGGAGTAATCCCTGTGCATCGCCAGGTGTGACCCAAAAAGCAAAAATAAATAAATAAATAAAAATTTAAAAAAAGGAAGAGGCTGAGTTACATAGAGAATGATTAATGAAGGTGACACACATATTCTCAGTCGCACTGTAGCACTGTCCTCTCATTGTTCATAGATTTGCTCGAGCGGGCACCAGTAACATCTCACAACAAATTGTGAGAGTTGTTGCTACTGTTTTTGGCATATCAAATACGTCATGGGTAGCTCGCCAGGCTTTGCCATGCTGGCAAGAGCGAGATACTCTCGGTAGCTTGCCGGGCTCTCTGAGAGGGGCGGAGGAATCAAACCCAGGTTGGCCGCCTGCAAGGCAAACGCCCTACCCACTGTGCTGTCGTATAATAATAAAAACATAAAAACCAATCAGGGCCAGAGAGATAGCACAGCAGGGAGGACACTTGCCTTGCACATACTTGACCCATGCTTGAACCCCAGCACCCCAGATGGTCCCCCGAGGACCGCCAGGAGTGAGCCCTGAGTGCAGAGCCAGGAGTCAGCCCTAAACATCACTAGGTGAGGCTAAAACCAAAAAACAGATGTCAAGACTTGTCTTTAGAAGCGATAATAATAAAACTCAGAGGTGGGCTGGGGGTTGGGGCTGTGACTGGCGGGTGCCAGGGTGCCAGGGAGGAGCTTGGGAGGTGACGGCTTTGCAGCAAAGGCCCAGAGAGGAGGAGGGAGAAAGGGGGGCAGAGAGGCACAGCCCAGGCAGGTGGGGGGCGAGTGGGCAGCGGAAGCACCCGGGTGCAGGTGCCGGACCCTCAGCGCCATGGCCAAGACAGGGTCCCCTGTGTGTAGGAGGCGGAGTCAGGGGAGTCTGAGGTGCTCCACAGCCTCCTCCTTGGGGTGCCGGAGAGAGCAGAGAGAATGGGTGTGGCAGAGGCTGAGAGAGGGAAGTGTGTGTGTGTGTGTGTGTGTGTGTGTCTGAGTCAGAGACCCAGGCTGACCCAGGTCTGGACGGGCGGTGCTCCACGGGACCCCGGCCCAGAACAGCCCGTCTGCAGATGGCACCTGGCAGGTCGCGGGCACTTCCTGCGCCACCAGGGCCAGGCTCCAGCCCCCGTTGCCCAACCCCTGTGGGACTGCACCCTTCAGGCGTCCCTCCCGAGGCTCCAAGCTCCACATGCGGGGGCAGGAATGCCGGCCGCCCTCCCGCCTCTCCCGAGACAGATGCGCGCTGTCCCTCCAGCCGTGGCTTCCCTCCAGAATGGGGATGTGTGGGGGGTGCTGAGAGGTGGGAGTGGGGTGTCACGGGACCGGGCCTCCCTGGCTGACTCATCATCCAGCCGGTCCCGTCCAGATCAGCTGCTGGGCTGAGCCACAAGCAGAGTCACGGGGCTGGTCCGGGCGCCTGTCCTGCACGAAGCCAATTCCAGTTCAACCCCCGGTACCAACCCGACGACCTTCAACCCCCAAAGCCTCCACCCACAGGGCCGTCCACTTCGTTACCACATCTCCAAATCTCCACGGCCCGACCAGCCTCCCCAATCACTTCTCTATCCACCACACACACACACACACACACACACACACACACACACACACACACACACACACGTCTTCTAAACGGGCCTCCTGTGAGACCCTAATCTCCACCATCTCCCTCACCGCCCAATCACAGAGACAGACCCTCGGGGCGCCACCCAGTCTTTCCCTCCAACTATTCCTCCAACCCATTCACTCAACTGACTCTCCACTGGCCACAGCACCTGCCGTCAGCTCACACACACATTCATGACCCATCCCTGCAACTACCTGCCCGGCCCACCGTTCTGCCCAGGTCTGCCTACCCGCCTGACACTCGGGCACTGTCCCGTCACTCCTGGACTCCACAGAGCACACGAAGGACAAAGCTCCAAGGAAGAGGGGGGCAGAGGAAGAAGTCCTAGCACAGCGGGTAGGGCTCTCGCCTTGCTCGCGGCTGACCCAGGTTCAATCCCTGGCATCCCAGATGAATTTAAATAATTCAAAATTCACTATGTATCTCCAAATGTTGGTGCTTTCATGCATGCTTAGAGAATTCCTTTTTTCAACATCGAACCTTGCAAGCCTGGAGGGTTTGTGATACTGTGGCATGCACGGCAGTGCCTCCTTAGCCCGGAACCCGGAGTGAGCCCTGAGTGCAGAGGCAGGAGTGAGGCCTGAAAATAGAGCCAGGAGTGAGCCCTGAAAACAGTCATCAGTGAGCCCTGCGTGCAGAGCCAGGAGTGAGCCCTGAGCACAGCTCCCAAACCAAAACATCCAGAAGGCCCTGTCCTGAGAATTACTGGGTGTGGGAGTGACGGAGGTCTCCATGCTTCCTCTGTCATCGAGACCTGCACCATCCAAGACAGCCGTCACTAGCCACAGGTGGCTTATCAGGCCCTTGAACGCAGCGAGTAGGCTGGAGAGAGAGAGCACTGTCGGCCGAGCCTGTGCATCGTGCAAGAGGGCCCCATTCCCGGCACCTCGCAGCCCCCGAAGCAGAGAGCCAGGAGGAGCCCATGCGCACGGCAAGGCTGTAGTCCCAAACTGTGGCCAAGACATGCCACTGTATACGTCACACTGTGTACGTGCCACGGGCCCTCAAGGTTGTGAGAGATCATACTGCAAAGGGAACGCTTTCACCGACCGGACATTCAAGTGTCAATATTTGGGGCCTATGTCGGCATAAGTAAGTCATGTAAATTCATCCCACCCGTTCACTTTTTGTTCGACGTGGCTGCCAGAAATCGGGAATAACCGAAGCGGCTGGCATTCTTTTCCTGTTGGCACAAACACCCATCTTAAAGAAACCCCCTGGGTCACAGAAGGGAGAGGATGAGAGAGGGCTGGCGGGGGGGGGGGGGGGGGGACAGAGCCCTCAGCTCAGGGGGAGAGTGGCTGAGAGGGGGTCGGGGTTGCCACCTCCCGCCACTCACCTGGATTTCCGCTTGCAGTAGACGAGGAGGTTGTCGAAGAGGAAGAAGACCCTCTCTTGGATGTTGCCCGCGGAGATCTTTAACAGAGTTCCCTGAAGCAGCAGTTGGGTGCAGATGTCCGTGAGGTTGGAGCCCTGGGAGAGATGGGGGTCGCCATGAAGGAGACGGGGAGGGGTCCCCTTCCGTCTCGGACACAGAACCTGCCTTCGCCTCCCTCCCACCTCAAACCCCAAGACGGGCACCGTGGGAGGCAGGTCTAGCAGCAGGCAGGAAGCCACAGCTGGGGGGCCCGGGGTGCAGGGCCTGCAGCTACCCTTACCAGCCAGGACCCTGGGCCTCAGTCACTCCCACTGTGCTCGGGCTCTTCTCTGAGGATGCGGTTCCTTCTCCCTGCTGCTCTTCACCCTCTCCCACCATCCACCCGAACACACATGTTCATTCTCTCTCCTGATGGGAAGGCCACGCCCCTGCCCCCCCCCCCCCCGCCCTCCTACACACACGGCTAGCGCTCAGCACAGGCCAGGGGAGGAGGGACCCACCGCGCGAGCATCATCGGGGCTGAGGCTGGCAGCCCTCACTGTGGCTGGGGGTCAGGCTCCGGGGTTAGCCCAGGGATGGACTCCCAGGCCGTGCCCTAAGGGGACCCACAAACTCCATCAGTCCCAGAGAATCTCTTCCACCAGTCCCATGGGGGCTCCCCACTGGCCCTCGAATGCCCCAGAATTCTTGAACGGGGTCGGGAAGGGGCCAGGCCGGGACCCTCTCAGGTGGAGCAGCAGCTAAGGGACAGAGGCACAGGCCTGTCCGAGTCACGGGGCCACCAGGCCAGCTCCGGCCCCCACGCACTGGCCCTACCTCCGCACAACACTCGCACCCAGACAGGGAAACTGAGGCACGGAGCCACCTAAAGGCTCATCACTGTTGAGTGTCCTAGTTGAGATTTGCACCCAGACGGGTGGGTGCCACTCCGTGGGCCCACTGACCACTCCTGCCGTGCACTGCCCCTCATGTAAGCAAGAGGCTTTTCTTCCTTCGGAGCCTAGAACGGTGCCTCTGAGGAGAGCACCAGGTCCGGGGGAGGGGGGGTGTGGCAGGGGGAGGCATGCGAATTCCTGTTTTTGGCCTTTTTTTAATTATTATTATTATTAAATGAGGGGGCCACTTCCGGCCAGGCTTGGCCTCTGTGAGCCCCCCAGTGCTCAGCCACCTGTGCAGCCCTCCTGGTCTCCTCCTGCCTTTCCCGAAAGCTGAGCTCCTCTCTCCTTCCCAACACCCCAGGGTGACGGTGCCACAGACCAGGGCTGCTGGCAGTGGTCGGCTCTTTCGGTGGGGGGGGGGGGAGGGCACCCGTGGCTTCCTGTGGGTTACTACAGGCCTCACAGGAAGGTTGGGGGCGGGGGGTGGGTCCCACACAGAGTGCCCCTATGGGAGGGAGACGAGGGGAGCCAAAGCTGCAGGAAGCTTCTGGAAGTTTCCATCTGTGCAGACATTCTCTGGGAGGGGCTTTGCTGCCAGCTCCAGGAAGTGCCGGGCTGCGTCCCTGCAGACTCCCCCTCCCCCACCCCCTGAATCCTTGTGTGATGCCCACGTGGGGGCTGCCTCCATCCAGACTTTCCAGGGGAGGAAACGGAGGCACGGGAGCCCCCGAGGGTGGCGCCAGGACGGGCGACGGGACAGAGCCCCTTCCTGGAGCTGGGGAAGGATTAGGGATTAACTTATCTGGGTTTCACGGAACAGGCAGCCTACAAGTGGCTTACACGGATCAGGAGATCAAACCACGATGCAGGGGGCCGGGGAGCCACCCGGCCCTCCCAGTGCCAGACCGAGGCGGCGGTATCCAGGGGAGATGGCAGGCAGCCCTCGAAGGGGGCAACAAAACATGGGGAAATGATCAAAAAGAGCATCAGCCCGAAGACGGGCGACCTGGACTCACTCTGGACAACGCCCCCAAGGATGAGGGGTCCAGAGGCCAACGCCCTGCTGGCTGGCAGCCGGGGCCAGGAATGTCACTGTTCCATGCAGTTATTTTAGCTAGAACACATTCATTTCAAAAATCACCTTGAGAACCAAACAGTACTTAAAAGTCTTCCTCCTCCCTGGGCCGGGGAGATAGCTCAGCGATACAGCATTTTGCATGGCACATGTGAGGCCTGGGAAAACTATTTCTCGGTTTTCCAAAGAAAATGCACATGGGATGAGGGGGTTGGCCTGCGGAGACAGCACGGGGTTAAGGCACTTGCTTGTGTGCAGTTGATTCCGATCAATCCCGGAACCTCATTTGGTTCCTGAGTGAGCACCCCCGGAGTTAAGCCCTGAGCACTGCCGGATAGGGCCCCAAAACAAACTGTCACTGTCACTATCACTGTCCTCCCGTTGTTCGTCGATTTGCTCGAGCGGGCCCAGTAACGTCTCCATCGTGAGACTTGTTGTTACTGTGTTTGGCATATTGAATACATCACGGGTAGCTTGCCAAAGTATCTCGCCAAAACAAACAAAAAAAAAATTTTTTTTTTTTAAATTTCTTCATTCCACTACCTTATCCTGATACGAGGAGGCAAACTCAAGGATGGTGCTGCTGAAAGTGACCAGGAGGGGGACCAGGCCAAGGAAACAGGAAAGACTTTCCTGTGAGTTATATGGCTGGGTGTCAAAATGCAGTTGTCATGCCTCAGTTTCCCTGTGTGTGAACGGGGACAGTCAGGACCCCTCCCTGCCAGTGCTGTGACCAGGTGACAGGTCTTTGCCAGCAGATCTTACTGAACCTCTTTATCCTCCCCTTGATAACTGAGACCCAGTTAACAAGAGTAAGAACCACGTCCAGAGCCAGGCTATCTCGGGCAGGGGCTGACAGACTCCCTGCCTCTCGCCGAGGCCAGCGCAGAACGCGGCATCTGGAAATCACTTCTGGCCAATGGCCAACTGGCTTGCTCAACACCCAGTCCACACGTCCCCACGTGAGTAACATCCTCCATGCTGGCGGTCAGAAGAAGCCATGTCCCAGAACTGCCCACTGCTTCCCCTTCTCACACGGGAATGCTAAGTGACCGCCAGCCCTGCCGGGAAGCCCCAAGCCCAGACAGACAGACAGACAGACAGACAAAAGCTCGAACACATCGGATGAGTGTGTGACCCTCTTCTAGAACACAGGATGTCAAGGAAAATCTCTCCGGCTTCTGGAACGTTCTTCCTGCCCTGAGAGCAGTCACCTCCCCCGGCCTCCACCCCCATCTCCTCTGGTTCAGAGCAAACTGGTGCTCTCACGTCAGAGAGCTCAGAGAGAGAGTCCTCGGACAGAGCTCCCCTAAGGGACAGCCCCGAGGTCAGGAAGTCACGGGAGTGGGGGCAGGGGGAGGGGCAGAAACAGCTCCATCGATGGGCTTAGAGCAGAGAGAACTGAGGGGTTTCCTGCGTCCCCGGAGAGGCTGAGGAGTGTGGAATCTGGGCTGGAGCTCACAGCTGGCCCAAGACACCGCAGAGCTGGCCACCCAAGGGAGCCACAGCCTCTGCCTGCTTAGGACATGGGGCACTCAGCTTGGCTGACCAGGGACAGCAGGCACAGCTGGCCGTCTCAGAGTCAGCCACACAACTGCGGTGGGCTCGTGAGGAGCAAACCGACCACAAACGTGGGGCCACGCCCTGCCTCAGATACGCAGGAAGGAAGCTGGAAGCACTGCAGGAATGCCACCCGGCCACGCAAACCTGGTCCCACACAGGTGCCTCCCTGGTCTCCAGCAGCTGGGCGTGACCTTCACTGCCCAAACCTGACCTTGCGAAAAGAAAAAGGGTCGGGAGATAGTACAGGAGTTAAAGCATTCAGCCAACCCCCACAACGTCCTCCCTCAGCACACATACTCCACCCTGGGCAATCCTCCCTGAGCACAGACAGTTCTCTCTGAGAGGACAGTCCTCCCTGAGCAGATGGTTCTCCCTGAGCAGATGGTCCTCCTTGAGCAGTCTTCCCCGAGCAGAGTTTTCCCTGAGCAGATAGTCCTCTTTAAGCAGAGTCCTCCCTGAGCACAGACACTCTTCCCTGAGCACAGTCCTCCCTGAGCAGAGTCCTCCCTGAGCACAGACACTCCTCCCTGAACATAGTCCTCCCTGAACACAGACACTCTTCCCTGAGCACAGTCCTCCCTGAGCACAGACACTCCTCCCTGCAGCCAGATCCCAGCCCCGCTGCACGGAGTCCCATCCAAGACTCCCCAGTGAAGGAAGAGAAAGCGGGAATCCCACAGAGCCAGGGCCGGCAAGGACACAGGGGCTCAGGCCGGGGACCCCGAGAACAACCCGTGTGCGAGTTCCCTGGGTTCAATCCCCTCTGGGCTACTCGGAGGAGCTGTTAATTATCTTAATGATTTCTCCAGGCCCATTTCGTCCCCAGCGCGGCAGGAAAGCTCAAATGATCAAAGGACGACAAGGGAATTTCAGCAGACAACACGCCAACCAGCTCCCTCCGTGGCACTGAGGACCGCGGCAGTGTCCACCCCCAGGCAGCGCCGGCCAGGCTTCGGTGAGGAAACAGGAGCGCGGGCATCTGCCCACAGCCTCTCGCCTAAGCACTGCCCTGATATAGCCCCAGCCTTGGCACCAAAGCCCAGAGGCTGAGAAGCCGCACTCGAGGGAGAACGCCAGGAGCGGGCGCAGTGGGGTGGGGGGTGGGGCGTGGGACCTTCCCAAAGGAGAATGCCAGGAGCAGGCACGGTGGTGGGAGGGGTTGGGGGGGGGGGGTGCACAGGACCTTCCCGGCTCCAGAAGCAGCTGCCCCAGGAAATGGAAGTTTCCAGAAGGAGCCTGAAGTCCCGAGTTCTGTCAGTGAAACAGGAAGCTAAGGGAAGGTGATCGTGTTTCCGGGCACGGACCCCGAGGGGCCCCAGACCCACCTCCCAGCCCTCGATGTGCGACTGCAGCTGCTCGAGCGCCTCCAGCTTCTCCATCTGCCGCTTGGTCTCGTTGATGTTGGAGCAGACGGTCTTCATGGCCTGCAGGGCGCTCTGGACGGCGGGGTGGTCGGGGTGCTTGCCTGGGGTCCTCTTGGCCAGCTCCTGGGGCAGAGGTGGAGAACGGGAGGGAGAGGCGTGAGCACAGCGGGCACCCAGCCCTGCGCCAGGGAAGCATCATTCATTCCCTCCCTCATTCATTCCTTCATTCCCCCGAGCCGGTCTTCTTGGCAGTGCTCCAAGGTCTTCTGGGAAGGAAGCGCTGGTGGAAGCAGGAGAGAGAGCGAGAGCGCATCCAGACCAGGCTACCCCAGGCCATGGGGACAGGGGTTCAATTCCAGCACGGGGTGGTCCCAGGGCAGACATGGACCCAAAACATGGAGCCAGGATCTGGTCTGAGCGCTGACAGGTAGGAGTCACACCCCCAAGTCCCCAAAAAGAGAAAGACGGAGGGGCTGGAGCGATAGCGCAGTGGGGAGGGCGTTTGCCTTGCACACGGCCGACCCGGGTTCGATTCCCAGCATCCCGTATGGTCCCCCGAGCACCGCCAGGAGTGATTCCTGAGTGCAGAGCCAGGAGTCAACCCTGCGCAACGCCGGGTGTGACCCAAAAAGAAAAGAGAGGGAGAGAGAGAGAGAGACAGACAGACAGACAGACAGACAGATGAGAGGGGCTTTGGAACCAGCTCAGTGGGTTGGAGCTCGGGCTTTGCATGCAGGGGGCTCGAGCTTGACCCTCAGCACTCCACGGTCCCCTGAGCACTGCCAGGAGCATTTCTTGAGCACAGATGGGATCACCAGGAGCACCCCCAAGTGTGGCTCCCAAACCAAATGGATCAGAGAGGCAGGGCGTGGAACCCAGGGACCTCGCGCCCGGGGCCAGGAAGGGCCGGGAGCAGGGGATGGAGGTGGGAGGCTGGCAAGGCCTGGTGGTCTCTGGGGAACTTCCGGCCGCCCCAACCGGCCCACAGGACTTGTGACCCGGGCCAAGCTCTCTCCAGCCCCTCTCCCTGCAGCCCTGCACGTTACAGATAAGATGGCACATCTGCGGGGGTCGACTGGGGTTCTGCCCGCAGGGGTGGCCGGTCCCTGAGCTGTCACCTGCCACGCCTTGGTGCCAGTCTGGGAGGCTTGGGCCTCAGGGGGCAGCAGGGCGTACCCAGGGGGCCCTTCCTGCAGGTGGGAGGGAGGCAGGGACATAACAGACGTGCAATCCCGAGGCCAGCAGGGAGGAAGCGGCGTGCATGTATCCTCCCGGCACAGATCTTCCTTGCTGGGCTGGTTTCGGCAGTGGGCGGGCGCCCGTGCTGACCCCCATGGCCAGCAGGTGCCTCTGCCCCACTCACAGATGGAGCGTCCCTGGGCATCCCTGAGCTAGGGGCCACACAGTCCAGGCCCCAACATTCAGCCTCTCGGACCCTAACCCTCCGCTCCCCCACCCAGAATCAAGTGTCTTATTCATTTCTACAACTGGGACCTTCTGGGTCCAGCATCCCTGTGGGGGATGGGGGGGCTCTGGTGGGCACCAACACTCAGCTGTGAGTGGGCGTGGGAAAACCATCCCCTTTCGGTCCTGAGAAGGGAGACGTGGCACTGAACAAGACCTTCTGGCCTGGCCCGAGGCTGGGTCCAAACTGAGAGGCAACTATGGGCTTTAGAGTCTGGGCTGGCAAGGAAGTGGTGGCTCCAAACAGCCTCTACCTACCCCAGGACCTTTGCTCCTGCTGCCTCCATGTTTGGAGGCCACACCTGGCAGTTCTGAGGGACTACTCCCATCTCTGTGCTCAAGGGCCACTCCCAGAAGTACTCGGGCGACCAGGTGATGCTGTGGATCCAACTCAGGCCTCCCACACGCGGAGCACTGCTCCCTCCTCTGAGCCCTCCCCAGCCCCCAGTATAAGTGGCCGCAGAATACTGGCAAAAGGACAGGCGGGCTGCTCAGTAGAAAAGAATTTCAAAGCCACAAAGGAGCCCTCCCCATGGATGGCCAGTTTATTCTAACCGAGGGTGCCAACAGGGTTCGGGGAGGGAGAAGCATCTTACAAGGAAGGGAACTGGCATGGTCGGGGCCCACCCACGGGAGGACAGAGCCGCCTCCCAAACATACACAGGAAGCCACCGTGGATCCAACAGAGACGCGAGAGATGAAACGAAGAATCACTGGAATAAACTCTATGTCGGGACCTACGGCTGGGCCCACACGGCCCGCGAGGACCCCAAATGCTGCTCAACTGGGAAGTACCACAGAACACAGCTGCAGCAAAATTTCCACGCCAGGCTTCAAAAGCAATGTATGGAGTGTGCCAAGAAAATCCACAGGAAGTGTGAATGCCCCGGCGGGTCAGGTGAAGCAGCCAGCAGGGTAAAGAACTCTTAGAGCTTAACTGTAAGAAGGCCGAAAGACAGAAACTGAGGGGCTGGAGCAAGAGCGGGGAGGGCGTTTGCCTTGCACAGGGCCGACCCAGGTTCGATTCCCAGCATCCCATAGGGTCCCCTGAGCACCACCAGGAGTAACTCCTGAGTGCAGAGCCAGGAGGAACCCCTGTGCATCGCTGGGTATGACCCAAAAAGAAAAAAAAAGCGATTGCTAGATAATCCCAGACAAGCCAAAAACGAGGGTCTCTTCCAATTTTGAGTTGATGGAGCAAAGGGGTGGCAGATGAGAGGAGGAAGGCAAGGAAGCTCCCGCCTGCCTCAGGGCCAAACACGGTGGCCAGCCGGAAGAGAATCGGGCTCCAGTGAGGAGAGGGGCTGCTGCAAGGCCTCGGACCTCAGCCCGGCATTCCTGACTACCAGAACGTGCCGGGTGCAGCCTGGAGAAGGCCTTTCCCGGGCCCCTGGAGCAGAGGCTGATCTGAGAAGCCAGCCTGCGTGGGGCTGTCTGCTGGTGCAGCCACCCACTCGAACCCGTGTCAGGCCTCAGATGGCACCTCGGAGCCAGGGGATGGGAAGCCTCGAGGCCCCAAAGTGCTTAGAGCCCCTCACACCCGGCGCCCCTCCCCCCACTCGCCAGGGTGCAGGACTCGGAGAACCTAAAAGGGTGTTTGCCTTGCACGCAGCCGAGCCAGGTTCGATTCCTCCGTCCCTCTCGGAGAGCCCGGCAAGCTACCGAGAGTATCCCGCCCGCATGGCAGAGCCTGGCAAGCTCCCCGTGGCGTATGTGATATGCCAAACACAGTAACAACAAGTCTCACAATAAAGACATTACTGGTGCCCGCTCGAGCAAATTGCTGAACAACTGGAGGACACTGTTACAGTGCTATAATCTCTGTATTAAAGGTACCCGGTAAAACTAGCCTTTCCAGGACCCTCCTAATGAAACCAGCCTTCATCGGGCCAGAGCGATAGTCCAGCGGGCAGGGAGCTTGCCTGGCACGCGCTCCGCCAAAGTTCAATCCCTGGCATCCTATAGGATCCTCCGAGCCCCACCAGGAGAGATCCCTGAGCACAGAGCCAGGAGTCAGCCCTGAGCACAGCTGGGTGTGGCCTCCAGACCAGGACACCACCACCTGAACCCACCTTTGTGATTATTCCCTGCCAGCCCAGCCCTGATCGCCTGGAAAGCTCCGGACCACTGAATCCTTAGGCCATCCCCATGAGACGAACCACGTACTGTTTCCACTGATAACAAATAGGGAAACTGAGTCTCAGGGGCACCTCCTCCTCTTGCCCAGGGCCACAGAGCCAGCAAGTGGGACCTGGGGGAGGCACTGCCCCATGACCAGGCCCCTCCAGAAACGGGAATGCCAGGAAAGGAGCACCCCCAAAGACGGTTCTCAAAAGACAAGAGGCTCAAGCCAGGGGCAGCCCCGGAATCCCTCAGAAAGCCCAGTGTGCCCGGGGCACCCTCCAAGGGGCAGCTAAAGCCGTGCAGGGCCCTGACAAGGTGGGGGGATGGTCCCCCCACATCCGTCCCTGAGCCACGTGGGGCTGGGCAGGGGTTCCCAGAAGAGAGGATGTGGGGGCAGAGGGACCTGGTCTCCCAGCATCCTCTGGTCACATGCCCCAAAGTGGGGCATCCTGGGCAGCGGGTGTGGTTGCTGCCCACGGCCAGGCCAGGAGGGGCCAGTCTGGGCCGCTGGCCTCACGCTCCAGGCCCAACCCAGCCACCAAGAAGCAGGGCTGTGGACAGCACCGACTTCCTGGTTCACCAAGGGCCCAGAAGGGAGCAGGAAAAGGAAAAGGGGGGAGCAGGGGAGAATGCATGGGGGCAAGAGCCAAACCCCACACCCGTCCTGCTGGGGTCTGAGCATCCCTCCCACCTCCATTACAAAGCGAGTCCCCGGGCAGCCCCAGGCCAGGATGCAGGCAGGACTCAAGTCAATCACGACCAAGGAGGGACTTGGGGTCTCCCAGGGCAGCGGCAGCACCAGAGGCAGAGCAGGACCCCACAAGCATCTCGACGGCTCCAGGAGCACATAGAGGAAGGCTGGGAGAGGGACCCGCAAGGAGACAGCGAAGGACAGCGGGACTCATCGGGGAACAAGCAACACGCTCTGGTCCACAGCAGGATGCGGAGAAAGGAGACAGCCGAGACGGAAACCCAAGGGGCCCCGGAGGGGCTGAATCCACCACCAATGGGCTCTGTCCTAGAGGGACCCCCTGGTCCCATGGCGAAAGCCCGCAAAGGTGCAAATAAGACCACAAGGAAAGCCAAGTGAGGACCCGGCAGAGCGCGGTACGAGCTCATCCGCGCAGGTGCAGAGCTGCCGCCTCCCTCCCCCGCCCCCATCCCGCTCACAGCTGTGAGTTTCCGAGAACCAGCTGCAAAAACATCTGGGCAGAGCGGGTACAGCTCTGAGCAGAAGCTGTGATCACGTGACCTGGTCGCTCTGAGCCTCGGGCCCGGGGCTGGGACATGAGGAGGGGGTCAGGGCCAGGGTCAAGGTGGCTGAGCCCACGGGTCTCGAGCAACGGTCAGGTCTCAGTAAGGCAGTAGGGATGGACACCCGGGGCTGGCCTCTCCCACAGATGGGGCACGTGCTCTCTGGTTGGCCGTGGTTCGCCTCTGTCGTGCCCTGCACCGGAACCCAAAAAGCTTCTCCCTGGAATGCTTATCAGGGGCCTGGCAGTTCTCAGCAGTCCCAATGGGGCTCTGGGCTTCAG